AGCCTCCAACACGGGTTCAACCCTCGTTTACCGTTTTCACGTTGCATGCCACATCCCGGCAGCCAGGCCTGGCGGAGGCGTGAATCCAACTTCAAAATGTTGACCGGCTTTCCGCCTGTAAAAAATGTGATCGCACCAGAGCTTACGACGCAGGGCCGCACTGGTAATTGCTGGGTAAGCCGGAAATGTTGGCATTTCGAAAAAGTCCCGATTGCAGCACACTGTCGCCGACACCGGCGAGAGGATCGCGGTGAAATTGACACTATTGCATGGGCCGATTCATTGGTCATATTTACCAATTTTTATGTGCTTTATTTTGCTCTGGCATCAATTTTCCGAAAGAGTTACAGACTTCCCTTTTTTCGACATCGGACTGTCACTGCTCAATAGCTTGGCCTCCGCCGCCGAGTACTTAAAAAACGTCGAAAAGTGCGCGCGTTGTGATCGCCGACGGTCAGCGGTACTTTATTCTTCTGCAATGCTTTCATTCGAGGTGGCGGAAAAGATGACTCATGGCAGCAATGAGGATGCATTACTGCGCCCTTTACGGGCTAAATTTGATCAAACTTTTCCAGTTTTCGTGCATTTGCGATGCATTATTTCCCCGCAAAACGGGGTGATCGCATTAATCTGGAAGCAGGCCATCGCTTTGATCTGGAAATTATCTGTACAGGAAACACAGCATTTACAGTGTCTGCAGGTGATGTGTTATAGTATTGGTATAAAGTACGACATAAGCATCGCAGCAGCTTCTGATTACGTGAGAGCTAAAATTTAAATGATCTGGCGCTGGCAGCGGCGACCTGAATGTCTTCCTCGGAACGTTTGGGATGTGGACATTTTGGCATTTTGAGAGCAGCGTATGAAGCTGAAATATGAAAATTACAGTCGTGCGCATCCGATGGTTTCATACAGCACCATGTTTTGCTGTGGCGTGTGGTATCATCCGCTTAGTCGTATGAATATGGCAACAAACCTGTGTATGCTTAGCTATGCGATCATTTCATTCAGCTGAAACAAAATGGCGTGTGCTCATCTCCTGTAGTTAATTTTTGAAATTATTAGCATTTTCTCCTTAGCGTTGATATCGACCTTCTTCCAGTACAGAGGTAGGAACAGAGCGAGATGGATAACTAGCCGTCATCGCTCCATTTTGGCCAAATCGGTTAGGGACTCATTCCATTATGTCAAGCAAGTTAGGTGTTTTGAGTTGACCGCATGACTGTTTGGCACTCTTTGGTGCGTTTGGTGAGCATTTCGTATAAGTTGTATTGTGGCGTTTCTTTTCTATGACTGTTAAATTTCTGTATTTAGCGTGCAGCTATATCGAAACAGCGTCGATTGAAGTGACAACATAAATATAATGAATCCGTTGCGCGCTGACCGCGGCGACCAGAACAGCTTACTTGAAACGTTTGGCGGCAAAACCCTAACCAAGCAACATACGCAACAAAACTCAAGCTGCAATCAAAATTTTGACGTTTTGAGAACTGCATTTGCAAGCTTAAGTGTGACAATTATAGCTGTAGGCTTCACTTCATAATGTCACGCAGGGCAAGCTGTTTTACCGGCTTGCCCATAGCACGGTTCCGTAGGACACCGGCCTCACTGAAGGAGAGTCGAAGAGCCTCCTGCGTTGGTCAATCTGTCATCAATCAATCCGATCAGAACTGTGGGCCTTCTGGCAATGAAAGGAAACACGAAAAGTTATGACGAGTATTCACATTAAGACATTGGAAAGATACTGCACCAGTCAGGACCCACAGTTCTGACCGGTGGGCCCTCCAGCTCAATCCCAGCATGGGCCTGTTCAACCGAACTGGAGTCTATATACCAATTTTTGGACCAACTGTGGTGATCAGGGATCTTACTGCATCCGTGAGGGTTCCTATGTCGATACAGGGCTAACTGCGCGGGTCAGAAGGCCTCTCGCGTCCGGGCAGGGACCACCGTGATATGATGTACCCCTTTAAGGGTCTCCGGGTCAACCATGGGATCGTGCCACGTGTCGCCAGAATGGCAGCCGTAAGACACCACGTGGTGGGACGGAATGGCCCTTCAGCCCTCGACCGGGAACAATGATGTGACCCCTTGTGTTCAACTCTGTTCTACTGTTCTACTCGTGCGAGAGCGACCGATGTGAAATAATGCTCCCGATGGTCTTTCCAACTGTATTCGAACCGCTCACAAATGACTGAGCGTGTCTTTTTACAATTTTGAGGTTGTGCTTTGGACAGGTGAACAGTTACAGCATCACGAAAAATAGAGATTCTATCTTGACGGTCCTACTTTCACCACCATACTCTAACGCCACTTCTTTTTTATACAAAAAGGGAACGCAGCCCACGTCGCCACGTCGCCTTTCTGGAGCGCCGGGGACTGCAGCGGCCGCATTAGAGCTCTCGGTACAGCACCACCTTGCGGTGCTGTAAGGGCCAATTCGTGCTTACTATCAATCTACAAATGACACAGGTGAAACAGGAACCCAAGCTTCCTCCTAACCATACGATATGATGTCCTATGGCGTTCAAATGTATTCCTTTCAGATGCATCATCATTTTCGTCCGCCCGCTGGCCACCGCTTAGTGTTAGCCGCGGGGTAGACGCTGCACGGCCTATGGAGATCGCAACACCTGGCGTCGAGATTCTTGTTGTTTTGGTTGACGAACGCGCATGTTCAAAACTGCGTTACAAAGTTTACATCACTATTTGGTTCTGACTGAATGTTGAACATCTCCAGGCAAGCTTGGCCAATCCATGTTCATACAAATTGCTCACCCATTTCGATCTACAATCTGCAATCGCTGCGTTCCTTAATATCTATGTAGAAACCAGATCAAAATTTTGGCAATGCTTCTGGGTCCTATCGGATTAGAGAGAGCTCACTAGACCCTCGTGAAATGAAGAGTGCCGGTGATTTATTTCATGCCGTCATTAAACGCATGACTTAAGCTAATTGACTCCTGATACACTATTGACGGGCAGAATTGATCCCGCGGTAGTGCATGGCTTGTGCGTTATTCATAGAAGGTAAAAATAAAAAAGAGCAAAGAAACAAAGTCTCATTAACAAATGGGCCACATCCAGCAATATTTGGGCGGACCTTTTTACTATCAGTGGCCGTTTGTCAATCCCCCCCCCCCCCCCCCCCCCTTGTCAAAGCTCTGGCTGCGCTCCTGGGCCGGCGGTTGGCCAAAAGACAACGGGTTCCACCTGCGCCTACACGCTGTCTGCTAAGGGCGCGTCTGTCTGTCCCGTTTCGCGTTGCGCCAGGCTCGGGCCGAACGGCAGGTCGCTGAGCTGTGCAATTTGGACACGACACGCGGGCGCACGGGGCGGTTTTCCACAGGTGGATCGTGAGCCGGTGCCGTTCGGGCGTGGCACGTGGCGGACGGGTCATGGGACCGACCATTGGTTTGGCACGGATGACCTGGCAATATGGCCGACGACAAAGCCGCCGAACAACCGTTCGATACTGTGGCCACATGTCCACAAACAGGGGTCGGAGCACAATAATTGACACGCCTTGGTAGCTGATTGAGGGACAGTCGCGTGGTACCAGTTCTGCGGTCGCGCGTACCAAATGTCACGTGCGCAGAAGTGGCTAAAATGGATTTGCCCAGTTTCACGGTTCTCAGGTTTTTTACCATAGATCAGCAGCGGGAGCGAGTTGAGGCACAAGTTAGATCTCGTCTCGACCAACGTACCGTCTGCAATCAATGTGATCAAGATGAGCTTGTGCGATGCATGGGTTGCACCAATAATCAGCGGGCAATCTGCGAATGCCGACTTTTCGAAAATCGGTGCCGAATACATCACGCTGCCGTCGAAAATAGTTTATGCATCAACTCCACTTATAGAGTTGTAATTCTACATTTTGGCGTCACCAGGATGCCATGATTGACTTCCCAGCTGCCGGCGGCGAGTATTTTAAAGGAAGTATGCCACCTTCTGACATTTTGTACAGCTAACTTATTGTTAGATCAGACGTGTTCGATTGTATCGGTAATACCAGACCTCTCGAATTCCGTTTGGATACCTTAGAATTTCAATTCGAAGTAGCCGCTCCTACGGAAGAAATCTCATTGGACTCCCTGCTCACCACCATGAAAGTAATTCATTTAAGTTGCGTTGCTTTTCCGAAGTGTGTACTGTAATGTTTGCAACTCACAAGTTGTCAAAATGACTGTGCAATAAATGCTACAAAAGCTGGAGGCATTCTTTTTAGAGAAAAAAAACGTGCAAACATGGGGTCATTATTCCGCCAATTTAGCGAAACGGTATGCTATGGTTTTTATTTCTCCCCTAAAGCGCTGAGTAAGAAGGCTCTTTTCGAAGAGCACCCTGGCTTTGGGAAACGAAATATCACATAGCCTACAACCATGCACTGGTTCAAACTTCAACCAACGCGTTTTTCGGTAACTGGCTCTCGCTGTCAGCTGCGCCAATCACAAGCGAACGCTCATTTCTTCTAACACCATTCTTGTCAGGAAAAACATCACTTTTAAGCCTGTGTGCCCGCAATGTCTCCTTGTATCTTGCCGTTGCTGTAGCGGTACTAACCAGTGCCGTAATCTTACGCAAATGGTTCTGAGGCTTCACCAGTGTGTGTTCTGAGATATACCCCAAAGGTGGGACTCTCCCTTCCGAGTAAACCGACGAAGCGCACGCATCGTATGTTGCCAGTGTCCGTCAGCCGTCACTCATTCATTCGTTGCGACGCGAGGCCAGCCACAGTCACAATCGAACGCATTATTTGGAATCGCTTGCGTTTCGAAATGTTGGAGAAACAAAACGTATTGAGCTAAGAATAACTTGCAAGATGTATTAAATGGACTCACGAATTGTAGCGTGTAAAACGGAACCCGCTCGCTACGTCAAAACACAGCATCCCGTGGTTCGTGGGTGTTGGTCTCGGAGCCACCGCAGTGTGACAGAATAGGAACACAGCGGCTGCGTTGAACAGGTGCTATTTCCATCTGCACTGGTGCATACTAAAGTGTTATTTCCATATGTATTGGTACATACTACATCAATCACAAAGAAGGACCAAACCCGAATTTCTGCTACACAGTACACTATTCTGTCTTCCCTGTCGCCGCCCACAGTAAAATGCATCTGAAACTTGCACATAACAGCAGAATATAGATGCAATAGATCCAGAAAAACTGCGCAGCATATCACATTTAAAGCGGCGGGGCGCAAACGTGAACATTGACTTCTACTGGCAGTCGCATCTAATGCTTCTCTGACTGTTCCTCTGAATCGTGCTCCGTGGTTCAGTTGTCGGACAGAGCAGCAACCCCTGGAAGCACCTTCCCTGAAAGCAGAGTTCCATTGTCACGGGTTTTAAAAAGGTTGGTTTATCGGGGTTTCAGGGTGCATGTAGGTGTCGGAAGAGTGAATGATGTGAAAAAGGTATGGTTTCATACACATTGCAAGTCAGTGCATTGCACAAAAGGCCAAATGGAGGGGTGCAGTTTCCTGTTTACTGTCGGGAAGGGGCGGTGGGCTGTTGGGCTGTTGTATTGTTGGGCGGTGGAACCCCCGTTCCCAATTTTTGGATACCCAGAGACAATCCCGTTTCCGCACGTACTCTGGGAGGCATGCTTAATTTGTAAAAGTTCCAAGTTGCAAGTTTAAGGTCCCTGCTCAGCCACTCAACTTATTTTGCAAATCTCCGCCTCCGTAGGGAGAACAAAATCACAGCACACGGCGTTTGATCCATGGGCTCCCAGATTTACAGCAGCATGCAAATGGCCCCGAGCAAAATTATCCACACTACATAACCCATGAGTGTTTTGTTTCGTGGAACCTTTCGATAGAAGCATCGTTGGGTCTGCAAAACTTCCCAGGAAAACCACAACCAGCAGCAAATTGAGGCTGATCACGCCTGCGAGCAGCCCGCAGACCGCAACTCCCCCAGAGAGCAGGCGGCCGGGTGGCCGCGTGGCCCTGCCGCGTGCGTACCCTCGAGCAGCTCGAGGCTGGCGCCGCCGCCGGTGCTGACGTGGCTGACCAGCTGCTCGGTGCCGTACTTGGCACAGCACGTGGCCGTGTCACCGCCGCCAATGATGGAAGTGGCGCCGGCGCGCGTGGCCTCCACTGTGGCCGCCATCATCGCCTTGGTGCCGCCCGAGAACGGCTCGAACTCGAACACGCCGGGGGGCCTGCGGCAGACGCGGCCGCGGCCTGAGACGCGGGCGCGCGCTGTACGCTGTCACACCCATGCCGCGCGGTCTGACGTTCGAACGTCACGCGTCACAAGAGCCGCAAGAATGTTCCGAACACGTTTGACTGTGGCAACAGCAACCGGTATGGGCATTTCTTGAAACTTTGTGCTAAGAACCGAACTGATTAAATGTGTGCCATCACTCAACGAAACGCATAAATAGCACCTGGTAAAAATGGCAACATTCTACACAGACTATTTCTGTTATAACACAAAATACCTACTGGGGCCAGAATACCAGTTTGCGGTCCTTGCGACCTTCACATCTCTGCCTCGCAACCAATCTGAGTGCCAGAAATGGGAACAAAGCAAGATATGCCTGGGTTACCCAGCCGTGAACTGTTTTGTGTCTAACATTCGAATCGACGTTCAGCTGCGCAACATGTATCACTGCCAAATACAGGAGTATACAAATTGTCACACTGAAATTGATAAACTTGAGAGCTACAGCAATAAACAGCGAAACTGAAAACAGTAAGACCCAGAGCTAAAGCAGCAGGACACCAGTGCCATCAGGATGCGGCCACGCCCTGCCATGACTGCCGGCGCAGGCCGGGCGGTTGGCCCGGCCGGTCCCGGCTGCCGCGCTCACCCGTTCCAGACGATGGTCTTGGCGCGCGAGATGATAGGTTTGATGGCCTCGACAGTCTTGGGGCCGATGTCCAGCCCCAGCCAGCCGTCGGGCACACCGCCCTCCACCGAGGCCGCGCCCACCTGGGGCAGCCGGGTCACACGGGTCACTGGCGCGCCGCTGGCAGAGGGCTCCCACCGACGCCGGCCGAGCACGGCCTGACCCAGCTGAGCCGCGCCGGCCAAAGCCTCGGGGCTCGGCGCGAAGCGCGCCACCAGGCGGGCACGGAGGCGTGCCACGCGGCGTCAGGCGGGCACGGAGGCGCATCATGCGACCCAAGGCGAGCACGGAGGTGTGCCATGTGGCGCCAGGCGGGCACGGAGGCGCGCCATGCGACCTAAGGCGAGCACGGAGGCGCGCCATGCGACCCAAGGTGAGCACGGAGGCGCGCCATGCGGCCGGCCGGCTGGCCGTCGCCGCTGTTCCAGGACGCAGCACCCGTGACGGATCCGGACCTGATTTGGCGCCTGACCTCAGCCGCCACATCGCCACAACAGGCAGGAGCGCATAAAAAGTTGGATCCACAAATGCCGAGCTAGGTCGAGATCATAACTGTGACTACCGATCCTTCGTCAGCTCGTAGAAAATAAACGCGTCTTAGAGCAGTAAGCGACTATGCTCACCTGGGCCTTTTCATCGAATTTGTCGGCGGTGACGAAATCCACGGGCAAGTGGATCTGGACGTTGTTGGCCTTTGCCTTCTCCATCAGCTGGTGAACTATCTTCGCACCCTCAGCGTCGTACAGCGAGCTTCCGATCTGGAGCCGTTCAAAAATTGCAAAACGTGTCAAACGAAACCCCTAACATGACCCGTCAGAGCTCAGTAAGCCGTACCCCTGCATAGTTGACCACTATCATCTCACCGTTTTCAGCACGCGAAATTTTCTTCGATGGCGTGGGTCTGTAAGCATGTCAACATTTCGGAAAATTCCAATCCAAGTTAGGAATCAAGATCAGAAAGGGTATAAGGCAACTGCACATCAGACTCATCATGCAACTAAAGTTTTCATAAGCTTATCAATTGGCAGGTAACATTCACATCCAAAGTACCGAACGTGTCACAAGTCTTTCCTACGTAGGTTCAGTGCGGTCCTGTGGAAACATGTTCAATGCGACAACCAACTCACCTTCATGCCATTGAGCTCCTTGAGGAAGGTGAAGGCCATGCCGCCACCGATGATCATTTCGTTCACCTTGTCCAGCATGTTCTCGATCAGCTGTATCTTGTCCTGCACCTTCGCACCGCCCAGAATCGCCAAGAACGGTCTGCACGCACAGCGGCACGTGCTCAACAGTGCAGTCGCCACTCCACGACCACTGGGTGTCCAGGTGGAGTCCACCACATGGAGATAATCTGGGAGACGCCGCCACCCAGGCTGCCACGATCCATGATGCAAGGTGACAGACCGATACTGGTAATGAACTATCCAGTCCTGGCAGCCACCCAGTACCAAGCGTTGGGTTGGGCGTGTGAGGCTCCCCACCAAAGCCATGACGAGGGCGTCACTGGGAGGCCTTCGCATCGCCGATGCTGTCGTGGGCCAACACTCACTGGTGCGTAGTCCTCGGGGTGAACTGAACTGTCTGGTAATGCTCGAGTACTCACGTCATGGCATCACATACAGATGAACTATGAGTGCACCAATGTTCTTGTCCAAACCGACACCAGCGGCACCACAGTACATCTAACACCACACCACGGCCCAGCCAGCCGCTGACCGGCGACAGGCGTGGCCCAGATCGCCGCTGGAGCGCCCCCTCCCCTCCATCTCCCACCGCGTAGCACACCTCTCGGGCGACTCCAGCGCCTTGGCGAAGTAGGTGAGCTCGCGCTTCAGCAGCGCGCCGGCCGCGCGTCGCTCGAACCCCTCGCCCAGCATCGAGCTGTGAGCCCGGTGCGCCGTGCCGAACGCGTCGTTGACGTACACATCGCCGAGCTTACGCAGCGACTGGCGGAACGTGGCCGTCTGGGCCGGCTCCGCCTTCACCTGCCGGCGGCGCGGGTTAGCGCGCGGGTCACCGGCCGCCCCACCGACAACGGCGCCGGCGCCCACCACTGAACGAGCCACCAGCCTACAGTCGGGTGGGAATGAATGGACAGCATACAGATATGAATACAGATGCAGATATAAAATGAATATGACCAATAAAAAACACAGATACCAATATAAAATGACTACTGATATGGATACAGATACAGATTTAAAATGAACACAGCTGGCAGGTCCCAGGTGCATAAAAGATGGTGCTATGGCATGCTACTTCAAAACTCAAGGCAACTAGAAGTGTAAGATGTTTAAAAGACCACCACATGGCATATGCTCATGAGAATGAGACTAGGTAATTATTTTTGAAACAAAATATGTTTGTTTTGTCATCAGTACTGCCATACTGTTGATAAGTCACTCAAATGTTCAGGCTTCACTAAGTGGCACCAATCGAAAATATCCAAATGCCTTGCCAACCTGTGCTTGCACCATGTAAATACTCTGGTTTCTAAGAATATTTCACTTTCTTGGAAGCATGGATCACTGCTACTTAATGCCAAAAACCATTATCCTCCAGCTGGATATGGGTGACAGGCAATATGTGACAGTGATCATGCATTTTGTTCAATGTCTAATGCCTTGAAATGCAAACTGAACAAACTAAACTGAACATGCTGTTGCAACTAAAACATCAGACAGAGCACACATAACACAAGGTGAATGGATTTCTTAGACAAGATAATATTATGACACAAAAGAATCTGGGCCAGAACTGATTTGTTGCCAAAAGCAAGTGGCCAATGCAGGCAGTCAGTACAGTCAGCAACAGTGACAACCATTGCCTGAAATAACATGCTAAATGGGTGATTTATACCTTTTCTCCTTTCTCATTGACTCCCTTGCCCTCCTCCTCCACATGAAACCGGAGGTTCTCCAGCAGGATAACCGAGCCAGCTGGTGGGTCCGCACAAGCCTTCTCCACCTCTGGACCAACACACTCATTTAAGAATGTGATGTCTCTGAAGCATAGGGGATGTGGAAATTAGGAAACACTTCCTATATACTATCTCTTAGTCATGCAAACATATATGTAACAAGTGTGCAATACATATCTGCATGCATTCTTGCTATCTTTATTTACAGGTAGACTGATTTAATATGTTGATGCTTAACTGTTGATGTATGAACAAAGGTATTGATGCTAGGTGGTTCATAGTTTGCATATCTATTTCTTACAGACAGATAATGGTGCAGGTTTAGCTTTGCTTTCCTGCATTGGAAAATGTAGTGGTGTAACCATCTCTGATCAATGTGTGAGCAGTAGATGTCCAGGTGGCCAAATATTACAACTGCTTAGGTCCAACAAGGTTTAAAAAAGTGGGGAAAATGATGGTTGATGGGAAGGAAAAATGTAAAGCAGGCACCAAATAGTGCAAGTGATTAAGCCGCATGTCTTAAAAACCTGATGCACAGAGTTTAGTTACTTGCCCCTCTTGCCAGGGTGAGGCAGGTGGCACCATATAGCCCCAGCAAAAGAGTTTAAGGTAAATCCTTAATGACCTGGACTGTGTAAAGCTCAAGATACAAACAAACCTTCCAAGCAGTTTCTTGAGTTCCTCAGCTACAGGCTTCATGGATGCTTTTCCATCCCTGTGGCCATTTGGCCTTCCCAAATGGGACATCAGCACCACAGACTTTGCCTGGTTGTCCAAGGCATACTTGATGGTGTCCAGAGCAGCCACAATCCTTTGGTTGTTGGTGATCTTTCCATCCTTCAGTGGTACATTGAAGTCCACCCTGTGGAAAATTGAAGATGCTATCAGTGATGCATTACAGTGGTTTGACTACAATGTATGTCTCGCAAACAAAATTATGTTAGGCTAAGTCTTAACTGGAGACTGAGGACATTTTAAGTGAGAGTGGCCCTGCTCACTCTCAAAATGAAATTAGCTTACCTCATGAGGACCCGTTGACCAACGACATTAAGAGCTTCTATCGTCAGCTTCTTGTTCAGTGACATCCCTGATTATATGTACCGTTCTGTCTGTTACTTCTTCTTATATCAAACCCTACAAGGAAAAAGATCGACACGCCGCGTACTCCTCGCCGCCCACCGCCGCCCGACAAACTGTACCGTGCTTAAAGGTGCACAGAAGAAGAAACACCGGTACCACGCATACGTTGTTGGAACATAAAATACAGAAGTATATTTCCACGCTTTGCGCATTGACGTCATTAGATCTTTCAGTAATGTAGTATATATCACTTTCATCGGCCGTCCTACCGACTTCCATCGACTCCGAAATCAGTATAATTTTGATTAGGGGCAGCCTGTTACGGTAACCTTCCAATGAACTTGATCCGGTCGGACAGATCAGTGTCTCTAGTTTGAGCATTTCGGGATAAGAAAATGTTGAAATCGGCAATTGGCTTGATTTGTGTTCATTGGCGCCCTACCGCATGCGTCTCTGCCTGGGTGCGGTGTCCTTGATTACGTTCAAGGTCTTACTACGTCATTTACACACGAGAGCTCAACCAATCAAATGCTTAAACCTGGTGGGCGCGTCACTAGCGCAGAGACTGTACTCTAGCTGTAGTCGTACATTTCCTGTGCGCTCTTAACAGCTGATGACGGGAAAAACAACTTTCACTCCGCGCGTGCCGCTGCTGTGGGGAGGTGTGGTGGCGGTGAATGGTGCTATCCGCAAGTTTTGATAGTTGTTTTTTTCGTATTAGATAACGTTGGTGCGATTTTTTACAAGTAAAGCGTTACCGCTTATTTGATTGTTCTACATAATCCTAGTAGATCGTGCGAAAACAACAGAAATGGGGAAAATCAAGTGTGAGTATTTCCACGCATTCTTACCCGCCACGCTCGATTCGACCCGTCCCACCTCACCCTGCGAAAGCGCTTTCCTACCCTTACCAACTCCTCATCTACCATAAAGCTATGGCCTACGTGGGTGAGCAGGCACACAAGGACCTAGAAGGTTACGTCAGCCTCTTGCAAGGAAGCATTTCGTGTTTTGTCCCCTCCCTATAAACCCACAGCCCTGCCTTCACTTCCATTGCTGCCTGTCTGCTGGTGCATTCTTGTGCCTTGCTGACATTTTGTAAAAATAAGAATAAAGGTGAAGTCATTATATGGACTGGTTTCTGGTATCAGGGCCCACACTGAGCAGTAGCTGCTGCTTGTGTGAGACCTAGCTTGCACCATTCCATGGTGAAATTAAGGGTCAACAGCAGAATTTGTTTGCAAATTTGTAGGATGATTTTTTACATCTTTGTTACATTGTTACTTTGTTACATGCAAATTTGTTACATCTTTGCAGAATTGCAAAGATGTAACAGCCACAATGTGCAGCCTGGTCCTCCATAATGTCTTCTGAGGCCCTGGCATTGACTGCTCTTAGGGCACTTACTGCTACAGTTGTCTTTGGCTGTAAGGCTGTTCCAGTTGAGAGCAGCATGTGTTGTTCAGTCTTCATGTTCTGGCCTTCCAGCAGCATCACAAGTGACTAGCTCCCTGACTAGCTTCATACAGTTTTGCCTGTTAACTAGTGAGACTAGACATCACAAGCACAGAGAAGTAAAAAAGATGGGAGCAGATAACAAAATTTATAGTGATTTATGCTGGATGGGGTGGATCAGTTGATAAAGATGGCTATATCCATCAAAAAGTGAAAAATCATGTTCATATAAATCATACTAGGTGGTGGTTTTACTGGTTTGTTGTCAGTGAAAACAGCTTGGCTTTTTTGTAAATGAACTTATGATTCACAAGGTATGACAGTTACCTCTTTTTTCAGGTGGACCTGTTGTGGAGATGCAAGGAGATGAAATGACAAGGTATAGATGGCTGGATACAGACATACAGTTCACATAGGTTCACATAGGCCTGACATAGGTTGAGGGGTCTGGACATTAATGTGTGTTGAGGTGTGCAGGCATTAACATAAATTGAGGGGTCTGAACACTGAAAATAGACTCAACCTACCAAAAGATATATTTAAAGACTTCTGAACACTTCAAAGTACACTTTCTTCTTGAAAGTTGGAGATGCTAGAGCCCCGCACTCCCTCCCCCAAATGATTAAGAAACTATATCCCTGGATCTGGCTGAATGAATGACAACTGTCTGTTAATACACCATGCTTTGAATGATTTGCTTTCATGTCTCAGAAAGCTATCCTGCTTTTCACCAACCTGCTAAGGTTGTAGTCCAAATGTGCATGCATCAGTTGGCATGTGTTTTGGGGAACATCTGTGGCAGCACTTCCCTGTTTTGTTTGCTTGTCATGGAAGCGAAGCTGTTTTGGCATTTCATCGTAACAGGTCTGTTACAAAACTTCCTGTCATTTTACATGAAGGATCCAAGGGAATAGACAGAAAGGGGTGCTGAATGGGTAGTGACATGTTGCACCTCAGCATCAGGCTGTCAAATCTTTATCAGAAGTGCTTGGATCTCAGTTGAAGTCCCTGGGGACATGATGATGGCTAGCAAGGAATATGGTTGTACCTTCATTGGTATCACCCACAACAAATTAAACCCCATCTGTAAGTGTGTTTGTTGACAGCCATAGTGCCTCAAATGTGTGGATTCCTTCAAATATGTTGTCCTTTTGGGGTCAGAATCTGACGTGCCAGCAATGTGTCATTTATCATTTAATGAGCTTCCCCTCAGTCCGAGCTGGTGAGCAGACAGAGTTCACAGCATCATTCCCACCCTCAGAGTGATCTGGGACCTCATCAAGGAAAAGCTGATCCTGCCATTCGTGGAGCCCGAGTTGCACTTCTTTGACCTGAGCATTCAGAGCCGGGATGGCACCGACGATCAGGTCACTGTCGACTGCGCCAACGCCATCAAGCAGTACGGCGTGGGCATCAAGTGCGCCACCATCACGCCCGACGAGGCTCGGGTGAAAGGTTAGCTGCTGACATGGTTAGGGTCAGAGGCGAGCCACTTTCAGAGTCAGAGACGAGCCACGGCCATGGTGCGGTCAGGGGTGAGACACGGTCATGGCGCGGTCAGAGGCGAGCCACGGTCGGGGTGCGGTCAGAGGCGAGCCACAGTCGGGGTGCGGTCAGAGGTGGGCCACGGTCGGGATGCGGTTAGAGGTGAGCCACGGTCGGGGTGCGGTCAGAGGCGAACCACGGTTGGGGTGCGGTCAGAGGCGAGCCATGGTCAGGGTGTGGTCAGCGGTGACCCACGGTCGGGGTGCGGTCAGAGGCGAGCCACGGTCAGGGTCAGAGGCGAGCCACGGTCAGGGTTAGGCGAGCCACTGTCAGGGTCAGAGGCGAGCCACGGTCATGTTCAGAGGCGAGCCACGGTCAGGGTGCGGTTAGAAGCGAGCCAGGGTGCGGTCAGAGGCTAGCCACAGGGTTGTCTTGAAGCCTGTGTTGCTGGGCTAATCTGCATCTGTATCTGTATCGTGTCCGCCCGAGTATTGTTGTAGCTTATCGCTGCTGACGGACGGTCGCTATTGCTACCCAGGGATCAACACGTGTCCTTCGGAATGCCGTTTGCAGCTCTTTTGCTAATGCTCGCAGGCGTGATTATTTCCGTCGTCCACCACTTGTTTGCGTGCAAGTGCGCTCGGCTCAGCGCAAAGTTGTTATGCTCTTTTTGTTGAGCAGCGCGCAATTACACGCACATGTTGGCTGCAGTTTCCTAATGGAAAGACGCAGTAGGTCTTCATATGGGCTCTCACATGGGTGGAGGTTGCCCAGCTTCTGTAGGCACAGGACGTGGGGTAGCACAGTTGCCAAGTGTTTCCTTGTGCGTGGTCTAGCATGGCTCAAACCGTTGGCTCAAACCGACCGCGTTTTATTAACGAAATTTAAGTTGCATCTTTGGCAATTTGCATGCATGCCGTAGTTATTTTGACCATTTCTGCTTTTATGGCCCGAAGGTCCAATGATATACCATGGGCTTATCTGCCCCATCTACTCGCTTTCTGTTTATTTTTCCATCTGCTATCTGTTTATTTATATGCTATCCAGATGTGTAGTCTGCGGAGCTGACGTCCTGAATCTTTAATAGTACTGAAGAATGTCTTATGCTAGGGTAGACACTGCTGCAACCGAGATATTGCTTAACGTGAACTATATTGCACATTCACTTTTGAGCGGTTTCATTTTCTTCCGCCATGTAATCAGACCTCTGCAGCTTCGTCCCCCCCCCCCCCTCTGCTGCGCCACCCCAGCGCCGGTCCACCGCTTGCGACTGTCCCCAACCGCGGCTCCGTCTGCCGCAGAGTTCAGCCTGAAGAAGATGTGGAAGTCGCCGAACGGTACCATCCGCAACATCCTGGGCGGCACCGTGTTCCGCGAGGCGATCCTGTGCCGCAACATCCCGCGCCTGGTCACCGGCTGGACCAAGCCGATCGTGATCGGCCGACACGCGCACGCTGACCAGTACAAGGCCACCGACCTGGTGATCCCGGCCGCCGGCGAGCTCCAGCTGGTGTTCCGGCCGGCCGACGGCGGCCCGCCGCAGACGCACACCGTACACCAGTACAAGGTACGGCATACGCTGGTACAGCGGTGCGGGGTACGCCGGTGCCGCGGTGCAAGACACCGGGCATAGCAGTGCAAGCTGCTGCGTACTTCACAGGTGCTGAGTATTAGACGTTAGAGCTTAAGAGCTCGGGGCTCGACGTATTGCGTTACTTGACTGCGTATTTTGACGTGATATGTACTACTGCGTCTGTGGGGATGCCGGTAGTGTAGTGGTAAACGCGTCTGCGTTAACCACTGTGCGTCTGGGAAATCAGAGGTACGGGGTTCGATTCCCCGCGGTACCCGCCCTTCCTGCCAGGGTGAGAGGCAGGCGACGCCATATGGCCTCAGCAGCTGAGTGCGTCGTAAAGCCACAATGACACACATACTATTGCGTCTGGAGGTACGTACTACTACTGCTTCCTTACAAACAGGTACAAGGTACTGCGTACTTCACGGTTCGCCGTTACAGAATGTTGTCCGCTTGTGCAGGCTGCCGCCAGGGTATACAACATTGTACATTAGTACAATATACCATTCATCTGTACAAAGTATCGTACTCTAGTAGGGGGTAGAACATATCGTTACAAGGTGTTGCACGCCAGCGTATGGCGTTGCCCGCCGCTAAAGGGTACCGGCATCCAGTGGCATTTACCTCCTATCACCTGGCAGCGCCTCTTGACGTTCCGACAATCTCGGTTCGAGCCACGATACCCGCTATCAGTGAACTCATGCTCTAAAGTTAGCTGGGATCTTGTTGACCGACTGGCCATCCAGCGAGGCCAGGCGACAGTTGCGAACGGACTGGACAGCGATTTGCACTATCATCTGTCCGTCAGCAGGCATTACGTAGCGTCAGGCGTGCCAGAGAAGCACAAGTGTGTTCATTGCTTGTTCAGTGGGCGGAGGGTTTGCGTGGGATGCCGTTTGGGACGGAAGGCGAGTGGCGAATGGCGGCCGGATGCGTCGGAGAGCTAGCCCAGGTGCATCGGCTTGCTGCGGTCCCGCTGTTCCGTGTCTGCGGAACGGGTGGTGTGGCCGCCTGCACTGGAGCGAGCTGACCGGCCAAGGATGCTCTCACTCTTATTCGGGCCAGGTTTTTGTTGCGACGCTGCAGGCCGGGCGGGTGCTAGCCGCTGAGCCGGTCTGGTGCCGGGCGCTCGTGCGGTCGGCCAGTCCCTACGGGCTGGGGGCCGGGCGGATGCTAGCCGCCGAGCCGGTCCAGTGCTGTGAGCTCATGCGGTCGGCCAGTCCCTACGAGCTGGGGCCTCGCGTAGCTTACGAATATTTTTTCTACCTCAACGGTCTCCACAAACTTCCCCCTTGTGTGTACGAATGAGATAACTTTTAGGCGTGAGCGGCCTCAACCTACGACGTGTCACCAGGCCCAAACCCATGAAGACTGCTCCATGGGAGCTAGCATCGCCAAAAGTGGATGTTTCGCCATGAAACATGCAGAAGCAGCGCGCTCTCATGTCGGAACTTAAAGGGGCAGCCTTAGAACACATAGCATCTTTGGAAGGGTACCTGACGACTCATACGGATGGTTCAAAGACGGACGCAGGTGTAGGGTGCGCTTTTGTGTGTGGACCCACAACACGGTCATTCACACTGCCTTCACACGCGTCGGTCTTCACCTCCGAGCTTATAGCCATCAGCAAAGCTCTCTGTTTTATTGAAGTGGACGATAGCAATTTGTATTTAATTCTTTCCGACTCCTTGGGCAGCCTCCTGGCTGTTGGCGGCTTCTCCCCGTCGAATCCACTGGTCCAGGACATCCGATCGCGTCTTAGCTCACTGGATTGAGCAGGAAAAACGGTCGTTCTATGCTGGATCCCAAGTCACGTGGGGATACGTGGAAATGATCTTGCTGACGCGGCAGCAAAGCGCGCTACGACAGGAATTAGAATTCCTATAACACCACTACCAGCTCAAGACATGTACCCCGCAGTGTCGTTTGTGCAGAAGCGATGGCAGTGCCACTGGAACTCGCTGAGCGCCAACAAGTTGCAGTCCGTGAAACCCCGTATTGGACTATGGCAGTTGTGCTTTCGGGACAATAGGGTGGAAGAAGTTGCTCTTTGCCGGTTACGCATAGGTCACACATATGCTACGCACCGTCACCTGCTATTGGCTGGCGACAGTCCATGCTGCGGTCGATGCTCTGATCCGCTGACCTTGCATCACGTGCTGGTCGCTTGCCGCCACCTTACTGCAACGAGAGCGCAGTTTTTCGGACACCACGTCCAGAGTCGCACGCTATGTGACTTTTTAGGGGATTCTTCGAACGCCGTCGAGTTTGGTAATGTGCTCCAGTTTCTTCGCGCTATAGATTTCCCAGTAATCTTTTCATCATGATGGCTAGGGCTGTTTATCAAGGCTTTATAGGGTGACCCGATTGATGCACTTTTCTGATTGACGGCTCTGCATAAATTGATAGTTATGGGCGCTGGATGACCTACAGCAGTCGATGCGCTAAAACCCCAAATCATCATCATCATCGCGAGCTGGGGGCCGGGCGGGTGCTAGCCGCCGAGCCGGTCCGGTGCTGTGTGCTCGTGCGGTCGGCCGGCTGGTTCGGCGTCCGGAAACAAGTCAACAAGGATAAAATGTGAATCGGAAAAAGTCGAAGGACAAAGAGTCGACAGGGATCAAATTGAAGTCGGAAAAAGCGGAAGGAAAAATTCGTCACGGATCAAATTTGAAATTTGAAAAATTCGAATTGGAGAACTCCAAGGACAAAACGTTGACAGAGATAAAAGTAAAATAAAAAAATCAAAAGGCGAGTAGTCAAAAGGGCAAAAGCCGACAGGAAGCCCACGAGGCTCTAGTGAGTGCTTACGACCAAACATTCGTGACCATAAACACGGCTTAAAACGCGGAGCACTGAATACAATCAATGTTTGCTCTATAACGCTTAACCGTACCTCTTGCTATTTTGAACGTCGATGATTCAGCACGAGAACTCTGGCAACAGGAACTAGTTGAATGCACAATCCCGGAGTAAATACGGTACTTTTGTAGTAAAATAGACTCAACTCGTAATACCGAATACAGGGATGGGATTTCCTTTGCAAGTAGACCGGGAGGGGTCAGCCTCACTCCGTTTCTAGTTCAATTTAGCTAGAGCTAGATCTATGAAATATAAGCAGGCGTTGAGCCTCGAAATTTTATCATTATAGACATGGCGTTTTTAGACAGACAGCCTTTTGCTTCACCTTAACGCTTGGCAATAAGAATTAGTTGAATGCACCACCCCAGGAGCAAATACGGTGCTTTTGTGGTAGAATATACTCAACATTTGCCTTGATGTTATCCAGTATAAACGCAAGCAGGTGTCTAAATATTGCATAAGTCTTGGAACCTGATCATAAAGGTGTCGGTATAGAGGAGAATAATGATCAGGTCCTATTCGATTCCGTCCGATTCCGTCCTGTCCCGTCTGGCCTCTTCCTGTGACGTCCAGTTCCATCTGGTTTGGACTGGCTTTGTCCGGTTCCGTCCGGTTCGTTCTGGTCCCACCTGGTCCCGTCTCATCCCGCCCGCTCGTGTTCGTTCTCATTCAGTCCAATTTTCTAACTCATTTGGACTACAATTGTGTTTTTACTGACATTTATCCTTGTTGATGTTCGGTCTTACGACTTACTCCGTTTTAACTTGTATTCCCGTCCAAATTTTGTCTCTTAGCATTTTCCTTTTCGATGTCTATCCCTGTCGACTTTTACCTCTTTGTCCTCCCTTTCCCCATTTGTCCTCCGACTTTGCCGGCCTGACTTCTATGCCTTTCCATTTTTGTGGGGTCCGACGTTTTCCCTGGCGACTTTCGCCGTCGGCGTTGTTTCATTCGACTCTGTACGGGAACCGGCCGGTCCCTTTGTGCTGGAGGTCGGGGGCGGCTGGTGCGTCGTTGCGGATTTGGCTTGGCTTGGGTTTACAAAACGAGGTTTCTAGTTTAGGTTTTCTTAGAGCGGTTTGAAAAAGTATAATTCCAGAAAGTGCTGTTTCGACTCCGTCAAATCCAGACCACCGAAGATGATTTGTCTGCGTGCAAGTGGTTCTCGCCTCCAGAAGGGTCTGTTTTAAGGCAAGCATTCTGTGGAACCATCACAGCGTAAAGAAAAGGGAGAAATCTGGAAGGAAAGGCACGGCATGAACCGAAACAGTGTACCACAACCTTGTGCAAATATAAGCAATTCACATCATAACACACTTCACAAACTAGTCATCGTCGGGCCTAGTCCCTTTGGGCTAGACTTCTGTATAGGACTGGTTGCATCGAGCCACTAGGGAAGGGCGCCTTTCCAACACGAAAGTGAATGGCGCCGGTTAATGGTCGTGCTCACTAAGACTACGCACTAGATGATATGCGTAGTGGCAAAGTTCCTGCTGCGTTACCCTTGAGCACGGCATGACTGGGGCGGTATGCATTCGCAGGGTCCCGGTGTGGCACTGGGCATGTTCAACACGGACGAGTCCATTGAGGCTTTCGCCCACTCGTCGTTCAAGTACGCATTGGAGAAGAAGTACCCTCTCTACCTGTCTACGAAGAACACCATTCTGAAGAAGTACGACGGGAGGTTCAAGGACATTTTCCAGGAGATCTACGAGAGGTGAGGATGGCCCGCCTTGGAGGCCGGAGACGGAGAGCATGGACTGAGGGCGTGAGCCGGGGCGGCAACGGACTCCTTGGAATTAGATTGTGTACGAATGAGCATGCGCGATATAACCGTCCATTGGTGTACACGGCAGTATCAGCTTTATGCGTTGGCTGCGGGACCACGTTGGGCTTACGGGCCAGCACTTCACTGGCGGCGGCCGACTCTTGCCGCTGGATCCCGAGCGATGCCCTCCGGTCGGGCGCAGGGCGCGGAGAGAGATAAACAGAGCGGCGCCGGCCTGCTATCTAAGACCTATGGCCGGCGCCATGTGACCTGGGAGGCTGTTGCCTGTCATAACCAGGCACCGGCCGACTGCCGGTGTCGCCCCCCCCCCCCCCGGACTCTCCACGTGATTGCCATAGCTCAGAACTCCCGGATCGGACCGGAGTACGGACCGCCGACCGCCAGCACGGAGAGGCCTTCAGCCATGCACTGCCGGCATGCAAGTCTCTGCAACATGTAATGCCCCTTTCGCCGAGAATAAGTTCATTGCACCGGCCAATAAATGCACCTGTTTTTTTTCGTCTGGGCGTGGCGTCGCGTTGGTCGCGTCTGCAGTTTGGCCAGTTGTGGTCGTTCGGAGACGGCGAGAGACTTTTGCTGACACCGATTTCCTGCGGCATGACGCCGGGCTGCTGAGACATGATCCCGGCGGCAACTGGGACAGCGGAGCGCTGGTGTTTTCCCCAAGAGCAGCGTGTTTGTCGACTTACCTTGTGCGGTGTAAACCGAGGCCGTTTCCTGTTTCGGTGTGGCCTCCTGGGGTGAGACAGGCTCGTGATCGTAGCATTTAAACTTGTGTGTACGAAAGCAAGATCCCGCGAGGGGAAAGGCAACTGCTGAATGTGTTTTAGCATTGCGACAGACCGCAACGGAGATTCAGAACGCAGGACACAGTCTTGAGAGGAACTTAACAAAACTATTTGGACCTCGGCCATCCCCTTCAAAAAATTACAAAGCACCGTCCAGTCCCTCCCATCCATGAACTGACTGCCGCACCGTTGCACCTGGTGCCGTTACTGCAAGGCCTATCGGTACAACGCCGTTCGACTTCTCTTCTGCGATGCACTCCGTCCACGTGCCTCTCCGCCGGCATCTGTCGCGATCGGCTTCTCTGGGAAGGGTGGGCAGCTGGGGTGCCCCCCTTCCTCCCCTTCCCGCCTGCTCCTGGGCCTGGGGTCCATGCCCGGGCAGAGTGCCGCCTCCCCACGTGGCGCGTCCCGGGCCAGGCCGCGCGGACCTCTCGTCCCTGCGCTATCTGTGCCGTACGGTATCTGCGCGCAGCCCCCCCCCCCCCCCCCTCCGCGGTCGCAGTCCATGACCCCGCCCGGTCCTCTGGGCGACCTCTGAACTCTGCCCCGCCCGCAGGCAGTACCGCAAGCAGTTCGAGTCCGACGGCATCTGGTATGAGCACCGCCTCATCGATGACATGGTGGCCTACGCCATGAAGTCGGAGGGCGGCTTCGTCTGGGCATGCAAGAACTACGACGGAGACGTGCAGAGCGACTCGGTGGCGCAGGGATACGGTCAGCGGCGTAACAGCTGTGGGGCAGGCGGTTCACCTCAGCTGCATTGGAGCGTTCGCGTTATGACGCTGCGCGTGATTGCAGTTCAATTGTTTGAGTCAGGCCGGGTTTCGTCACGGACTAAAAGCGTGCGTGCGTGCGTGCGTGTGTTTGTGTGTAGGTGAGGTAGTGTAACAACATCCGGGGTTCTGAGGGCGGTTGTCGTCCAACACTTGCAAGGATGAGGATTTCGAGAAAAAAATTGGCGGGGCTTGCCTTCTGATGGGGGGCCAAATGGTACTGTGAGCCCTCTACCTCCCCCCGATTCCGGGTGGGGTGATTCGATTCCAGCTATCCTAGGCAACCAGACTATTTCCATTAAAGCATCCCGGTGAGTGATCAACTTTCAATGAAACATTGAGTGAAAAAATCGCTAGAAATGTTCGCAGAGCTGGGTTGAGTATACTTGCTTGTGATGATCAATAAGCGACCTAAGGGTGACCTGTCGAGTCCAAGGCTCGGATAGCTTCATACCCCGCGCCAAGGTTAAGGATGGTCCGGGCGGAGTCGATTCGGGTACAAGTAGTGATGCTGAAGCACGTGACGCACGGCTATGACCTTGGCCCACTTGACGTTAGCATACTGTCACAACAGGACACGTGTATGCGTTGCGCCGCTATTTCTTGTTTTTCATCAAGCAAAAAGTGGCCTTTGTTGCAGCTGAAAGCGGCGTTTGTTTAGGCCATCGACCGTGATGATTCGGCGGGTTCTGGCGTATGGCCTGTGGGTAATCTTAGCATACTCAAAGGAACGACCTTTATCACACGATGTGCTAGCGCGGTGACGCTGCTGTGCTCGCTTAGTGGGTGGCTACACCATCTGTGTTGTCGCGTGCTCCGGACACCGCGCGCACCGTCGTCTCGTGTTTATGTTCTGATCATGTTCCAAGTGCCATGACCTGCAGGCTTGTTGGCTTCCGCGTCATGCTACCGACACCGCGCGGCACGCTCGCTGGGCGTGATGAGTCGGTGTCGCGCTGCTGACGTCATCTCTGTGCATACGCGGCAGGCTCGCTGGGCATGATGACGTCCGTGCTGGTGTGCCCGGACGGCCGGACGGTGGAGGCGGAGGCGGCGCACGGCACGGTCACGCGCCACTACCGCCAGCACCAGCAGGGCAAGGAGACCTCCACCAACCCGATTGGTGAGCGGGCCGAGGTGGTCGGAGCGGACGGGACGACGGGCCGGGTGCGGGCCGGTCCCGTCCGCTCGGCTGGGACCGCCGGCGGCTGTCGGTCGTGTCAGGCGGCAGCGACGGCCCGGTGACGTCTGGTGTGTGAACGCGGTCTGGCGCCACATGGCCGGTTGGTGCCCCTCCATCGAACACGGCTGACGCGCAGCCAGCCGGTCCACGGGGCGGGGTCCGCCGACGGACGGCCAGTCGGCGCGTGGGGGGGGGGGGGGGGCGGCCGAGGCCGTGTCGGCAGCCTGTCGGCGGGACGGTGGCCATGGCGTCTCGTGTCGTGGCCCGCTGAAGCGGCTGCCGTCACTGCCACCGTCGCGGCGAACCCCAAGCCTCGTCGTCGATATTTACCCCGATGACAGGACAGCCGTGGACAGCACAGACACAGTATCTCGGCTGCTCGGCGCGGACGCCAGTGTGGCCGGCTGCTCCTCGCGGCCGCCGGTGTGGCCGGCTGCTCCGTACGGCCGCCAGTGTGGCCGGCTGCTCCGCGCGGTCGCCGGTGTGGCCGGCTACTCTGCGCGGCCGCCGGTAGTGGCCGGCTGCTCCGCGCGGTCGTCGGTGTGGCCGGCTGCTTCGTACGGCCGCCAGTGCGGCCGGCTACTCCGCGCGGTCGTCGGTGTGGCCGGCTGCTTCGTACGGCCGCCGGTATAGCCGGCTACTCCGCGCGGCCGCCGGCGTGGCCGGCTGCCCGGCGCTGACGTCAGCTCTGTCCGGCTGCTCGGCGCTGCCGTCAGCTCTGTGGCCGGCTGCCCTGGCGCTGACGTCAGCTCTGTCCGGCTGCAGCGTCCATATTCGCCTGGAGCCGGGGCCTGGCGCACCGCGCCAAGCTGGACGACAACAGCGCAGCTTGCCGAGTACTGCAGCGCGCTGGAGGCCGTCTGCATCGAGACCATCGAGGCCGGCCACATGACCAAGGACCTGGCCATCTGCATCAAGGGCATGAATGGGTACGTCTCCCGGCGGCAGCATGGGTTGGCCGGCGGGCCGGGGCAGCGGCAAGGGCCAGGTCAAAGGCATAATTAGCGCTTGTGACTTGGCATGCGGTGATTTGTGCAGCGATTTTTGTAATTTTGGCTGTATTGTATTAGGCGAGTTTGGCCCGTACAGTGACTGGTACCGAGTAAAGCCGTGTTGTCTGTGTGGGTCATCTTGTGGCACATGCAAATTTCATATCCAACATGGTCGTTTCCTGGAACCCGGATCGAAGTGAGCAAAACCGAAACACAGGAGCTGGAAGCGGGTCTGAAACTCATCATTCCGCGGCTGAAGTGGAGCGTACTATACCCGAGCTAACGTCTCACATGTTGTGTATCCCGGATGACTGGTCGTTACGTCAGGTGTATTGCCCGCTACGTGCGCCGCCGTCGCGCCCGCCGTCCGCCCCGCTGTCACCCGGGACCTCGTTCACAGCGTCACCCGCTCCGACTACCTGAACACGTTCGAGTTCCTGGACAAGCTGGCCGAGAACCTGAAGACCAAGCTGGCCAAGTGACTAGCTCGGCTGTAGGGCCGCAGCGGCGGCGGCCCGACGCGACTAGCTCAACTCGTCCCTTCGAATGAGGCGGCCGCCCTGCCGGTGGCCGATGCCTGGTGACATCGCAGTAAAAACACTGCCCGTTGTCGATTTTCAGCGTTTCTCTGTGGGCGTTCATGCCCATTGTTTCCGTGGATATACCGTTCGATCAAACTGTTGCGGGTGGATGAGGCATAATGATGTTTTTGATTTGTTCTGTTTCATATCCCTCTATTTTATCATACTCAAGGACCGGTGTGCATCCTTTGTGTACCCTGGCCACATCGAGTTATGGCCCTTCGTTCCCGAACTGGAACGTGTTTACATTCCCTTTCAGCATAATTGCTGTTTTCCACTGGCACTCAAACGCCGTGAATGGTTAATGGACGCGCTTTTACCGTACATTGTTGCGCTCCTCTGATGATATTTGACTGAATCTGCGAACACGTTAGCAATACATAATACCATGTCTCTTAAATCGCTAGGTAAATCGCATGTTACACCGTGTTGCGTGCCGTGCCATGTTCAGTGGGAACTGTCCCTCCCTCACAAAACAACTGTTGTCACGATTTGGGGCCAAATAAAACACTGGATTACAAAGTCAGTATTATCTAGACGAGAATAATGAAGCGATGACGGCGCACGTGCGAACAAACAGCACAGGTCACGCTCGGCGACGCCCGACATCAGACCGTGTCCCGGAGCCGCGGCTGAGACCGACTGCCGCGCCTGCGGGGCCGGCCAGCGCCGGAACGAGACCCTCGCCCGCACTGCTCTCCGCTGGCACAGCCCTCTCTTAGGTAGACAGCCACCGGCCGCCCTGACGCGACCGTCTCTTAGGTAGACCAACACCCTGCTTGTGCCTCCGCCCGCCGCCGGCCGGCCGGCCCGACACAAGCACACTGATTGTCCGTCCGCCGAGCGTTAGTTCTGCGGAAGTTTCTGACCCTGTCCGGCGGTGACCCGGTCGCCGTGCGATAATCTCCGTTGTGAGACGTCTCCGCGGTCTCCGCGAGCGGCGTGTCCCCACCGCAGTGGTCACCAGGGCCGGGTACGCCCGCACTGTCCACACGAACACGGCGGAAGGTGCGCTGAGCGGCGCGCTCCCGCTCCGCTGCTGCCGCGGCGCGGCGCACGCCACCCAGTGACGGCCGCGCACGACCGGACCCGCGCGCCTTCGGTGATACGCGCGCGTCGCACACGCGCCGCCCGCTCGCCCGGGCAGTCCGAAGCCCTGCCGACGGCGCGCCGCGCCCGCGGAGCTTAGGTCCCGCCTCCCCCTGCGCAGCCCCGCCAGGCGGACGACCTCGCCAACGTAGCCGAGCAGCGACAGAGGACCACCGGTCCGGGCGGCGGGCAGCCTCGGCCGCCACAGCCACGACCTGGCCGTCCTCAGTCGTCGTCTGAGAACTCGGCGCCCTTGAAATCCAGCCGCACCTGCACGTCGCGCAGACGGTGCAGCACGCGCGGCGGGGCGCTGCGCCGGCGCCGCGTCACCGGACTGCCGTCGGCCGTGGCGCAGCTGTTGAAGCTCTCTTCCAGACGGCGGCTGGGCGGCGCCCAGGATGAGTCGTCGCCCTCCTCCTCCACAGGGATCCTGCCGGTGGGGCGGCGCGACCAGCGCTGTCAACGGTCGCGCCTGATTCGCGGTCTGATCGCAGCGAAGTGAGGCAGGAAAAATCAGGTGACGGGAAAAGGTATGAACGCGTGAGGTTCTGGAGAACAAAACAGCTACCGTCATGATTGGGGCTTGAGGGTGCACTGCTGGGCAATGTCATTCTACGCCCATCACAAAGTTTATTATTCAGCATGGCGTGAAACCCGTCGACAATACTATCGTTAACACAGGGCATCCACGACATGAAGGTACGCAAAGAAAACGAACAAAAACAACGAAACGCAACGCCATGACCCCCAGGCAACTGCCACCCGCAGTCAGCCCCACTTTGCCTGCCGCGGAGAAGCGCGGGACAGAACGTACGGCTGGGCGGCTCCAAAGGCCAGCTCGCGGCGCAGCGAGTCCTGGTGGCGGCTGCGCAGCGTCGGCCGCGCCGACGCCATCTTGGGGGTGGAGTTGCGCACAGCGGCCGGCAGGTGGTGCAGCTCGTCCACGCTCACGTCCAGCGAATCGTCTGCCGGCGAACACGACGTCTGAGCCACGAGCCGACCTCACAGCACGCCACCGAGGGCTGGCAGGGACAGCCCATGACGGCGTCAGCAACTGAAGGTGGCAAACACGGCAGGTCGTAACAAAGACCCTGTCAGTCGCGTCACACAGCTGGTGCTGTTAAGATGTGCCACGGCGTGCGACCATCGGAGCTCATGCGTCTGGCAGCTCCTGAGCGGCGACGCGCTGCAGCAGTCCCCAACAGACGGACAGCGACGGTGGCTTTACCTGACCTGCACACCCGTCCACAAGCAGAGTTCAAACATACGAGGCCAACTCGGTGGCGACGGCCTTCACGTTCGGCAGCGGCCGGAGAGGCCCGTCCGGGTAGCAGCGGCCGCTTCGACCGCACCGGGTCACCCTGTGACACACCGGTCGGCGTGTCCCCCCCCCCCCTCCCCCGTTCCTCACCGTCCACGTCACTGATGGCCGGGTCGAACCAGCCGGGCGGCTCGCCGCGGCCGTCGGCGGGCGCGGGCGGCTGGAGCGGCGACATGGCGCCGGCTGACGCGGACGCGTCTGTCATGCAGCGGACCGGCCAGCACACCAGCCAGAGCAGGAACACGAGCGCCGACAGCAGCGTCATGTAGAGTCGCGCCAGCACGCCACGCACCACGCTCACCTGCGCCGGAAGTCACCAGGTCACGGTCGCGGGCAGCCCCTGACGGGTCACCGGGTGCACCAGGGCCACCTGCACGGGTCACGGGGTCGGCGTCGCCGGTGCCCGCTGGGGGACGGTCACGAGCCGCGCCGGACCAGCCCGGTCCGCGGGCCTCACTGACCGTCACTGGCACACACGGGCTGGTCGCAGCTCCAGGTCACGGGTTCACACACACCACGGGGAAGCCCATGCCCGGTCCTCTCATGCTGACCGGCAAGTCGGCGGACCCGTGGTTTATAGCCGTATTACAGCCTGCACATTTGCCTTGTCGATGCCGTATTTTGTAGACTGTGCAGTTCCGTTTCCACCCTGTGATTTTAAGCCACTAAGCTGCTCGAGTGAGACAATCTTATCAGCCCAAACAGCGTGGCTCTGCGCCATATTGTAAGGCACTACACCACAAGCCAGTGCGTTATAAAGACCTCAGCAAAAGGATGCCATGGAGGCCCGAGATGTGTACGTCCAAGTCGCGAAGCAGCCGACATCAGCAGAAATTCAATATACCTGTAAATGATTGATCAAAACTACGAAATAGTCCAAAACCGATCCTAAAATCGACCGTGAAAAGCAGCAATTTCTGCTAGAATCTGTTTATGGCATGCTCCCATACATCTGCACAGAGCGGAGCGGCGGAGCCTGCGGCTGGCGCCGCCCTCGCCGCGGCGCTCCCGCCCAACTCACGGCCGTGCAGCACACGATGACGAGGCGGCGGCGGCGGCGGGCGGCGCGCACGGCCGGCAGACGCAGCAGCTCGCCGGCCGACGGTCGCCGCTCCGGCTCCGGCTGCAGCATGCGCTCCAGCACGTCCCACAGCGGCGGCGACAGCGCGTCGCGGAGCGGCGCCGGCAGCTGGCCCTGGCGCAGCCGGTGCCAGCCGGCGGCGCCGCGCGGCAGCTCCAGGTCGCAGGCCAGCTCCAGCAGCGTCAGGCCCAGCGAGAAGATGTCGGCGGCGGGCGAGAACACGCCGCGCATCAGCTCCGGCGCCATGTACTTGGGGTCGCCCTCAGTCACGTCCGAGTCGTTCAGGTCACACTGGCGGCAGCAAGGGGTGGGGGACCACTGACTGGCCAGTCAGGTCACATTTACGGCGGTGAGAGGTAGGGTTGCTGACGGGCCGGCCATGTCACGTGGCGGCGGGAAGAGGTGGGGGCCACTGACAGGCCGGTCGGGTCACACTGGCGGTGGCGAGGGGTGGGGGTCACTGACAGGCCGGTCAGGTCACATAGGCGGCGGTAATGGGCGGGGGTCGCTGGCGGGCCGGTCAGGTCACACTAGCTGCAATGACGGGTAGTAGTCACTGACGGGCCAGTGTGATCATAGAGCACTCACAGGGCTGCCAAGTCAAGCATATCATCACCGGCGCGTGGGCGGGCGGTGATGACAGCCGGGCAACGGTCCATCATCTTCACGATTCGCCACGCTCGGATCAGCAAGGACCACAAGCGGAGGTGTTACATGCTCTCCAACTGCTACAGCGCTGTCGTCCGCAAATGGCTACTCCTAATCGCATCACCAGACCAATCCGGCTGACGACTGATTCAATCTAAATACAGGCACATGGTCTCACACAGCCATGCGAGACGAGCGTCCACACCAGCTTGACCAGACACGCGGGTTCCGCGGGCGGACAGGTGACGTTACTCACGTTGCCAGACACGTCCATCACGAGGCCGAAGTCGCCCAGCTTGCAGTAGCCCTCGCGGAACACGAAGATGTTCTCCGGCTTTATGTCCAGGTGCACCAGCTGGTTGTCGTGGAGGTGCTTCACCGCCTGAAACGCGCGGCGTCTGCTTCAGCTTCGCCGACAGGGCGGCGCGCGCCGACTCTGCGGTAACCCGCGTTGCGACGGGGCACCAGGAGCGGGACATCATCAGGCGTGCTGGCCTGACCGCCCGACGTAGTCATGAACCGTACGGCGCCACCGCCCGACATCACGTGAGCCCGCCCGCTCCGTCGCGATGGGCAAACAGCAGACAAGGGCGCCTTCGCCACCATGCCTTGGTGATGTAAACTGGTGCACCGGGCGACTAATAACCAAGCTAATAACGAAAGACCGGGCAATACTCTGACGCGCCCACCGCCAGAGACGGAGGCATCAGGTGAACAGGCAGCGATGTGGCAGATGAGTCGATGGAGCGACGGACCCCAATCGGCAAGCTAACATAAAAGTGCCGACTGCGATCGTGGCTGCGCAAATATCAAGACTTTTAATGAAACTATCCCACCCACCGTTGTAGTCCGCCAAGAGCCGCTACAGACGCTTCGCGGCGCGCATCCCTCACGAGAGGTCCTCTGCGGGGGTCAGCCGGCCCGGCCGACGGCGGCGCACCCGCGCCGGCGTCACTCACCAGCAGCAGGTCCACCATGTACGCCCACACGGTGGCCTCGGGGATGCTGTGGTTGGCGTCGGCCACGTCGGCCAGCGAGGTGGCGCACAGCTCCGTCTGCAGGTACAGGTGCTCCTGCTCCTCCCACGCGCCGTGGAACGACACGCAGTGCCGGTGCGGCGGCAGACGCTCGTGTTTGCGCACTTCCTCCAGCCGCCGCCGGCTGCAAACGTGAAGATGTTGCCGGTGATGACTCTGCCATAGAAGGCCCCGACGACAACGGGCAGTGGAGCACCGCTGTCCCAGTCAACACAGGGGCGGATACCGGCGATATCACAGCGTGGTGGATGAGGGAAGTGGTGCAGGAGGGAAACAATACGCTCCAGCCGAGCCATCTAGCAAGTGGAAACAAAGCGCGTTCACTTCAGACTGACAGTCGGCGCTTAAGGCCCCCCCCCCCTCTCCCCCCCCCCCCCCCACCGGATGCTCCAATCCCACCAGACAGAACAGAACCCGCGAGCATCGGTGAGGCACGGCCGACACACTCGAGCATCGGTGAGCCCCGTGTGACCGACACACTCGCGCATCAGTGTAGAACAGCACGCCGGCACACTCAAGCACCGATAAGCACCGCACGGCGCGAATACCCGAGCATCGGTGAGCAGAGCGCGCCGGCACACTCGCGCATCGGTGAGCACCACACGGCCAGCACACTCGAGAATCGGTGAGCACCGCACGCCGGCGCACTCGCCGGCCCATCCTCGCTCACCGGTCAGCATTGCTTCGGAAGCGCTGCCGTGACTTCTTGATGGCGTACATCTTGCCGTCCAGCTTGCTACGCGCGCTGAACACCTCGCCGAAGCAGCCGGTGCCGATCGGCTGCTTGTCCTCGAAGCACTGGTCCAGGAAGGAGAGCTGGTGGGACGTGTTGTATAGACTGTTGGTCAGTACCGCTGCAGGCGAGGGAGGTTACGGATTAGCGCAGTGGCAGTGGGGCGGGAGCGGAGAAATGGCGCCATGCAAATATATCGCAACTTTTAGAAATCCATACATGTTTAAGGGTTTTTTTGTCACACATGAAGGAGAGCATATTGAGATGGCTCCGACCACCCGGAAGAGTTTGACCGCCACAAGTTTACTGCATTAGCCCACTTTCCCTTTCCTTCCCTCTGGCCACTTCTTACCTTCTGCCACCAAGTAAAGGTGATGTTAGGCCGAGATTTATTCGTTTGCCTCTTTTTTTTCTTTCGAGATTTTGAAGGGGCATGAGCCCACCGCAAGGCTTCGGGCCATTTTCCCGAAAAAGCAATACTCACGACGCCCCGCCTCCAGGAACTCTCAAGGATACGACCCAAGATGGTCGAAATACGCCATGTTGACTTTGATCCCATCCTCCACACGACCACGGATCACCGACCACGGATCACGGACCCCGGACCATGGACCATGGACCACAGACCACGGAACACGGACGACGGACGACGGACGACGGACGACGGACGACGGACGACGGACGAGACGGACGAGACGGACGACGGACGACGGACGACGGACGACGGACGACGAACGACGAACGACGAACGACGGACGACGGACGACGGCACACGAACCACGGACCACGGCACACGGACCACGGAAAACGGAACACAAGACCATGTTCAATATCACCCGAACACAGCCACGGCATGACCGCAGTCTGCCCTGCCCGCTGGCGGCGGGCGAGGGCACGCTGAGTCACCTACACGAGTCGGAGTCGTCCTTGAAAGAGACAGCCAGCGCGCGCGTCTCGGGCAGGCAGGAGCGCACGCGGCTGCGGGAGAGTGTGCTGCGGATGCGGGCCGGGTGCGGCGGCGGCGGCGGCCGGTACTTGCGCTCCGTCTGGGCTCGTGCCTGCCGGTCACCGCCGTGGTGAGCAGAGTGGCTACAGCCACTACCTCGATCTCAGTGCCTGTTACAGTTCTTGCCAGTCAGTCACACTGGTGTGGTCACTGCCATCAGCATAGTCCATATCATTGTCATGGCAGGAGCTATGGTCACAGCCATGGTCACAGTACAGTCAGGGTGATGGTTCTGGTCTCAGACAAGGTCATGGTCACAGTCAGGGTCATGTTCACAGTAACAGTCATGATCAGTGATGGTCAAAGTCATGGTCTCAACCAATGTCATTACCATGGTGATGGTCATGATGACATTCATGATGGCATCCATGACAGCAGCAGCCATAGTTGCATTCATAGCAGATGGTGAGGCCAGTCAATACATCATGGCTATGGCAGACGTGAACATGCTGCCGATAGTTTCAAGTGGCAGTGGCACATATTACTGAGAAGCAGGTTAGCAGCATCCAGCTGAAAAGTTTCTCTCTGCTGGCATTTAATGATGGCAATAGCTGGGGTTTAAGGATGCAGCCAGCCAGTTTGTATTGGTCAAACTAGTTGACACAAATTACTGGTGATGACAAATGGCAGAAACCTGCAGAAACTCATTTCTGCAGGACACTCTGTAACCTGATGGAGCAAAGGAGAATAGCAAGATAGCAAAATACACTGTGCATTAGACATTGCATGAGCAAGTATGAAACACTGAGTATTAAAAAACACCAGTAGAAATACGGGCTAGCTCATGCCATTGCTTTGCCCATTTAGAACAAGGTAGCAATGAGTGAAACATTACTGTAGAGGTCATAACTGAAAATAAGCATAGCTTTTAAACAAGGTCCCATGAAAATGTGGTGCTAATTAAAAGGCAGTCAGATGTCATCTGAAAACCACATAAGCTGTTATGTCCTGCAATTAGCAGCAATAATTATACAAACCTTCTTGGTACTGAATATTCCCTCATCAGTATTGTCGAATAGTGGAACTGGCCGTGAGGTGGCCACATGGTCTTGGCTTGACATGACCAGTGACCTGAAAACAAATAGAAAAGAACACATCAAAATCTAGAAAGCTTTTCCTTACATCACATGTCCAAACAAATGTTTGCCTCATGTCCAGGTGGGGGGTCAAATTGACCTCCCAGGTAAAGCAACCCCCCCCCCTCTTTTGAAGGAGAGCATATCAAATCCAGGGAAAACCCATTATGCTTCCCCGCCTTAATTTACACATTCAACGTGGAGATGAAGGCCGCCGACACCACCGTGCCACACTGATAAGAAGCAATCCGGTAATGTTTTGAGCATACCTACCTTGCTAGCTTTGCAGCATGAGTGTTTTCCACTGCGTTCGTAGAACCACCACACCTCTATCACCACAGCCTCAACCTAGGTACCGCAGCCCAGCGCTCAAGACGTGGTTCACACCACCGCCCTTGTTCATACGGCTCACAAATCACGCGGCAATTTTAGACTGGTGCGTAAGACGACTGCCTTAATTTTGCCGCCATTTCTAAACTAATGTAAATGCGGCGCAACAGTGACAAGATATTTCACTCTGCTACATCGCGGCACATCTCGAAGGCGATTAGTTCGGCCCTTTCATTTTTCAAATAAACATTTATTTTAACTTCAATTAAATTTCAACTAAAGATTCAAGCATAAATGGACCAGCCATGTGATACATTGATCCGTGAAGATCGACAGAGCATTCATTGCCCCTGGCTACGGCAGTCGCTGACCGAGTTGTATAGCCACTACAATCACAATTATACGACAAATGCCCAATAATTTGCAAACAGTCATTTGCAAAACTTGCCATTTTTACAGGCTGGCAGACTATGAAGGGGCCAGCGTGGTAAAAACATTAGGTGTGTACAGGATACTTTTTGGTACAAAATTAGCATAATACTTAATGTGACGGGCCTAGGTACTTGCCACCTAATATGCCAGTAGTTAAGACAATTGTTACGTAACTTTTCTGCTCTGTATATATTTGAGCCAGTACACCCTCTGCTCATATGCATTGAGGAGTCTCAGGGGAGCACTGAGTGGAGGGCTCAAGTAGCTTTGGGGGAGGCTCGAGTCAGCATTGGGGGCGGGAGGGGCACAGCCTCCACCGGAAGTGGAAGCGCTCCTGATAATCGTTACCATGTGTTCATTACGAATCGTTTCATACACACCGGTCAATTTTTCATTGGAGACTAGGGGGACGGGGTGGTAGTAGTTAAGTGGGTGGATCTAGCGGGCTGTCATCAGCCGACTTTGGCTATGACGACTTAAAGCCTTCTCACGTATGATTTATCCTTGCCTATTGCATAACACCACTTCTGCCAGCCACCTCTTCGCCTGCTTCTTTATGTCTATTTCTTCATCTTAGCTAGAAGTGCTGCGACTTGGTGTTATGTTTTCTGGTGTTGACGTGCGGTTTATTGCGTCGCTGGCATGGAGGGAGGGGCAGTTCTGGTTACCTGTTCTTAGGTAACGGCATAGAAAAATGGGATGCGTATTAAAGATGATGAAAACGATGATGCAGTCGTCATGAAAACACGCCTGGAGTAAAGAAAGGCGCACAAGGGCAAAGACTATGCGTCACGTACGAAAAGTCTCGACATGAACACTGCACGGCTCTGGGGGCACAACGATTGGCGGACATGAACACTGCACGGCTCTGGGGGCACGACGGTTGGCGGCAGGCGGTTCCAGGACAGGGCTTCACGATGTGAAAAGATCCTCCGTGACATGGACGGCCAGAAAGAGGACAGCTCCAACGAGTCTGCTAACTTCGATCGGGCACCTCACACCAGCAACAGACATCCTATCATCTTAACGAGGCCATCTGCATGGTCTCTAGCCATCCGTTAGAATGGCAGGAGCTACCTTCGACCGCATCCTGTCCTGGGAGTAAGACATCCAAATCAGTCAAGCGGTACAATCATCCTGTTTTGTCCACATTGATTTCAAATTCGGCACCATTTCACACCCGCAAACTAGTTATCGGAGCCCAAATTCCCTCCCCCCTCGCTCCTATATCGATAAGATAGACGGCTAGATATCTCGATCTCGCATCGCTAGTGCTAGATCGTCGATAGCGCGAGAGAGCCAGCTATCTAGTATCTCTCTCTCTCTCTCTCTATCTTCTCTCTCTCTCTCGCTATCGCTTATCTCTCTAGCTCTCTCTCTCTCTCTCTCTCTCTCTCTCTCTCTTTTGCACTGCCTTTCAGCCTGGGGCGCGTGACCGCTGACTGCTATCCCAGCCGAATGCAAAAGATGAATTTGGCGGTCTGGGTCATCTCGTGGGCGCGGGACCGGGATCACATTTCATCGATCTTGAAGTAGCTTGGCTGGCGTGGCATGGGTGACCTTGTTACACACCATGAGCACATCGGCGCCTTCAGGACCCTAAATGACCCCTGCGCACCAGCGGCGGTCCGGTTCCTGCCCACCCCTTGCACCGCTGTTGGTGCGTCACGAGGTCGGTGGTGGCCGTCGCTTTGGGGATCCCCTCTTTCCAGCTTAGACAACCGGAAAGATAGCGTGAAAGGAGCCGTGCTGTGCTCATGTCTGGAGTTTACCAATGTGACACAGAAGAAAGTGTTTACTTTGTGAACTGTTGGTGTTTGTTGTTTTTGGCGTCTTCCGTAAGTTGTTAGGTGCATTTGCGGGGAACATTATACACATGGATAAGACAGTAGTATTAGCCTTATTCTTCGGAGAGGAAACCAGAAGAATGAAGACAGAGATGGGTTGATATTTCGGTAGTATGCCTTCATCGAAACAAAGTGTTTATCCTGATTTCCCTCCGAGGAGTTAGGCTATTACTACTGTCTTTACCTTGTCGCATCTTCACTTTTATCGCACATTACGAAGCTCATCAACTCAAATGAAACACTAAGATATAGACATTGAACGATTGGTAATGAGTTTATGATGATGACCATGGTGGTGACAACCGCAGTCAAGAGTTCTGCCGTAGCCAGCCGTGATCCCACGGTGTGATTTGAAGACTCATTGACAAATTGCAGCAGAATCAGCAGCAGTTCCGTTGGGAGGGTCCGCGAATAGTCGCTCGTTGCTGATGTGCGTCAGACGCGAATAAGTTGTTGACCAGATTTGTTCTTCGCCATGCGAACTGCATGGCGCATAGGATGTTGGTATTCGCGTGACGTTTGTATAGCGTCATGAATGTCTGTGTGGCCTAGTGTGCACGAAACAGTCGACAATAACTTCACGGCGCCAAACTTAAAAACAAGACAGTTTTAAAGTGATTGCACGTACCGGTGGCTCAGTTAGTTAGAGCGCCTGCCTTCCGATCTATCCACCTGTCGCGGGGTGGGTTCGAGTCGCTTCAGGGCGCTCGCTATTTGCCCTAGACAGGTATGGCCTGCGGCCGGTGGCAGCGGTCGCGCTAAAGGTCGGTCGACGTCAGAGGGCAGGACGGACCGTGCCGAGCATTGCGGCACGTTAAGCTTTCACCACTAAATTCTGTCGTTGCCTGGCATTGCGCGATCGGGTGGTGGGATTTAGGGCTCACACAACAATCACTGCTTAGCGTGAGCGCCGATCCCAGAAACCCATCCATTCAAGGGGTTCGGACCAAGTTTTTTCCCACATTTGTTTGGGGTTTTGAGCTGAAATAGCCGACTTGAGGACCATTCTGTGCAGTTCGCGGCCCTGCCCTTCTTAAGACCTAAAACTCTCTAGATTCCGAGTTACACGTCCCGCAAAAATGTCCAGACTACTTTGCACAGACTATTTCAAGGTCACCCAGGCATCCATAACGTCACAATAATGCCACTCAAATTATGTCATTCCATTGGCCATGCCGCACTATAGGCCAAGAAAATATAATGGCCGAGTCGTTCATATCTGGCGTTCGTGAGCATCATTTCCAGATATAGCGGCCGTCGATTAGCTCTCAAACAATGTTGTGTGAGGCACGACGACGCAATCAAACAAGGGCGTATTGAGGACCATGCTTGTTAAAAACCGAAATTGTATTGCCTGATGTAGTTTTTTTTCCTTTTGAAAGTAAACAAATGGTTATGAGTGAACTTATTTCATGATATCCGTTGCTTGCTCCCATATCTTTGAATGTAAACATTCCCTTTAAGCATTAAAATGGCATTGCTGGGAACTACACCGAATGATCTAAATGGCTACCCCATTTCGAAACCTCATACAAATGTTGCCTTGGTCGTTTCTCATTACGCGGGCACTGACCCGCCAAACACGTACTCCATGCCATGAAATGGATCATCCAGTGTTAGATTTATCGTTGGTGGTTTCTGATTGGGGGTAAAGATTTGCATGCGTAGCTTGTAAAGGCAAGAGATCTGGATCTTGGGGAGCTATGGAAGCCTGCGAAATCTGATTTCTAGACACTGCAGTTATGGACACAGTCCATAGTTGTGATATGCAACAATTAATTCCAATACAGCAATTCTCAGCCTAAGATAACGTAGTTTGCTACATATGCAAGAGTCTACGGTCTGATAGCAAAGCGGTGTAGCGTGTTTTTCATGGATGGATTAAACCCAGCAAAAACTCTTTCTCCAGCACTGGCATTGTCCTAGTGTGGCGTGCGGCGTATCTATCCGCCGCGGGCCACATGCCGTTGTTTCCAATGTGCGAGTACGGTTTTTGTTGGTCCGAGTGCTCATTCCGGACATGCGTGCCGGGGCGATCAATAGGGGGTGACCCGTTAAAAACGCCGACCTCGTCGGAGTAGGACGTTCAATCAGTACAGCCGCGTCCAACCTAGAGGTTCAACCAGTACACGGTCACGGTGAAGCACAGTAGCAGTGAGAGGGACGTTGACCCGGGAGCGGTGATGGGAGACCGTATCGGCATGGCGCGCCGACGGCCAGGCGCTCGGTGCCTTCACCTCGGCAAAATGTAAGCCCGGCAGAGGAATCGCTGAGCAAGCCTTCGGCGACTCTGAGATCCCAGCCATTTTTTCTCTTTTTAGATACTTAAAAATAAGCGTTCTGTAAGTGTTTTGAGGTCACGTGCTCGCACCTCAATTGTGATCTGCTGTATGTCGGGCTCTCTTTTAGTGCTTACATCGCATTGCAATGATTAGGCCGTCCAATATATAAATCTGTCGCTAATGTGTGTTGTTGCATAACGTGTCGACCCACGCCTGTTATTTTTTATGCGCTTCAGCGAACAATCTATAAGAAAATAGCGGATTAATGCAAGTGTAGGGCTAAAGATGTGTGCCATGAGGAAACAAGCATGTAAATGACGCGTCGTGGTCAGGTCCATGTTAATATGTCAAATTAACTATCTTTCGTAGCTCATATGATGCGTACAGCTTGGGGCGACTGTGGACTTTCTACGAGTGCAATGAAAGGATTTCATTACAACGGACTAAATGCGTGACAGATGCTTTGCGTTACGACCACTCAGATCCGGTGAGGGATTCCGGCGACTGAGAATAATAAGCCGAGGGGGATTCCGGTGCGTCGATGAGGGATTCCGGCATTGTTCCGTGACGAGATCAAGTGACGTTTACTGTTCATGTTGGGACGAAAGCATCTGTTTCGTGGAAGCCATGTAATGTTGGTGCGCCAATGTTTTCGCCAGCATTTGCAGTCGCCCCCTTCTAATCGGTTTATGGCAGGGAATTGTATCCATGATAATTATATGCATATCCCTAATGTGGGCCATTTAACCAACAGCCGACATCAACAACACTTGTCTAATTAATCTCAGCAATTATGATTATTGTCGTAGACTTATTAATCCTAAGGAAACTTTTTTGTTCTTTCGTGAGGTTCATGATTCGTGAGTACAGCTACTATCTCTGGAAAGGTATTCATAACATTATGCATGTCATGTGCGACGTCATGTGCGAACGCGCAACTTTAAAAAAACAAAAAACATACAGGATCTTCATTTAAGTTGAGTCAGTCACGTCGCTTGTGGCTTTTATGCAAGCTAGGCTTTAGGAATCCACGTGCTTGCCGTATTGTGTCGGTAAGAAATCTGTCAGGTGAGCATGACAATATTGCGGAAAAATGAGGAGCCAGTGCTACTAGTTACGCGGACGGCAAATCAAGTTGAAGGAAACGACGACACGATATGTTGAGAAAAACCGCGTTTAACATAAAATGGTGGCCAGTACGGCAGATTCCGGACCAAAGGGTGAAGCAAAAAAACAAAACAAATCAAGAGGCCTAGCTAACAATATTTATCAGAAAATACCCCGCGTAACACTAACATGTTGTGAAATGGTGCACGGGGTTTGTTACGTGTCATTTACGGTTATGATACGGACGCTCACCAAACATCTTCTCGCCTTTGACGGACATGCGACACCTTAGGTTTGAACTGAGCCGATGTGTTCATCGGCCTTAAGCCCGCTGCGCCGACCACTCGTGCACGAAGACCTGGTGGTTAGTTTCACAAAATGAGTTAGGGGTTGGACAGCGAAAAATGGCCCATCCTACGCCAAAAGTATCTCAACAGTCAAGTTTCTCCCCAGATTTGGCCCACTTTCTTCCAAGACCATACAATTTAATAAGGACAGTGTTTTGTGGAAAAGGCACACCAACGATGATACGACTTCTAGGACCTCCGTCAATGATCGATAGCATGTTTTGATAGTTCGGTAGCACGGTGGTGAAATCCTGGATCGAACACTTCGAGTCATTCTGTTCTACTGCTACCGATCTCCGTCATTTTTCCGGATTTTCAGACCATCGACGGGTTTTCTCGGCCTGTAGTCGTCCACAGGACTCTCACGGAGTGCAGCACAGCCACCGCGTTGTCCACTTAACCTGCATTGAAGGCCAGTGTAACTGCGATTTGATGTGGCCAATCTGGCCTATCCATTGTCTTTTACTCGAAGAATGTGATTCGGACCTGCATTGCTGATGCTGCCCACGCATGATCTTAACCCCACTGCATACCTCCGCCCTGAACTAAGCGTCTCTCTTGATCGCTACGTGGCGTGAAACAACGACCATACGCTCAACTCGTCCAGAAAGTGTACCGCACGGAGCACCGGTAAATGACTAGATAGAAACCACAAAGTCGGCACAGGTGATAATGTTTTTCGAAGACTGTGAAGTCGAATGCCACTATTTTTTCTCTACTTTAACAGTCGTTGTTTTTCTATCATTCGAATAGATAGTCATCGCATCGATGACGGCTGGATGCTCGATGGTTGGATACGATGCCGCTACGACGCGTCAGTGGGCTTTAAATGGTAGCAAACACGGAAAAGACATATCGGTGCTTCATATTCAGTCCTTTTCCCTTTCACACAAAATAAAGGTCATCGCTTCGAAGTTGTTGCACCGGGCTTGATCACAAGTACGGTCTACGACGAGTACGAAGCGCGCTGTAATTATTCTGCGTTGAGCTGGCTTCGAACAGTCGCTCGCACCAGCCCATGTCATGGGAAAGACTTGGTTTGACGCCACGCAGCGTCGCTCCGAACACATCCGATATCACGAGCAGTGCACACGTCTGGTTCAGGGGACCACACGCTCACGGCACGCTTTACGAAACATCACGGTCGCACCGCCTGACATGACGAAATGCCACGGTCACACCGCTGACACCACGAAACGCCACGGTCACATCGCTCCGCGGTCGTGCCGTTGACAGGAGACTCCGTGGCCGTACCGCTGACATCAGGAGAATCCGTGGCTGCGCAGCTGACATAAGGAGGCTCCATGGCCGCGCGGCTGGCATCAGGGACGCCACGGTCGCGCAGCTGACATAAGGAGACTCCGTGGCCGCGCGGCTATCATCAGGAGACTGCCACGGTCGCGCCGCTGGCATCAGGAGACGGCCATGAGCTTGTAGATACCGGTATAACCGACCAGCCGGGCCCGGAGGGCGGGCAGCGCTCGCGCCGACGCCACCACGTTGTCCAAGAGGGAGCTGCACTCGCAGGTGAGCACATAATAGATGTCCCCATCTCCGCACGCCTTGTGTAGCACCATGCGCCGGAGGCCGGCGCTGGCCGGAATGCTGCGGTACAGCAGGCGTGCCCCTGGCGGACGGACGGGCGTCAACAGCTGCACCTAGTTCACTGCCGGGCGAACGAGCATCAACAGATGTGCCCAGCACACTGCCACCACGGGAGCGGCTGACGGAGGAGAGCAGATGGTGCGGCGGCGGCGGAAAACGGTCGTGGACAGGAGGAGTTTGCTCCTTGCCGACTGCGACTGGGCTTCAGCTATGAGCTGTGCCACAAGCCCCGGTTTGTCCGTCTAGACTGGAGATGCCAGAGCAAAGGACGTCGCAAGCGCTTGAATGTGGAACATGTTCTCGTCTCGTGACGCCGCTGTGCCGCGAATCGGAGGTGTTCCTTCACTCCAGCGCTTCATTCTTGGCTTTCAAGTCGGAGTCCCGGCCTAAAATCTGACAGAGGCATTGGGCCATCTTACCGCGCACCGACGTTAGGAGTATTTATGACCGTTTGACAATGAAGATTGCCGAAATTGTATGCGTTGTACGGGGCGTCAACAGCACTGACCAAAAGGGGAGCAAGAGACCGTTATGAAGATAAACTTATTTGTGAAAAATTAGCATTATTGTACTTTCAAGTGGGTAAGACAGTAGTTATAGCCTATCCCTCGGAGAAAAACCTGGAGAATGAAGATATAGATGCGCTGATATTTCCTCAACGCGCTTTATCGAAACGAATTGCAGAAGTGAATTTAAAACTGCCTGCCGATTATCATTATCGATGTTTCAGGTTTTTTGAAACAGCGAGCCACAGTTTTTACAGGGCACCAGCATTCAGGGATTAAACAGGGAGCAATTGCCAGCAAATACTGCGATACAGTGCACATCTAACTAAGAATTCGAATGCTAATGTCATAATTACAGTACTAAGTATTCTGAGCATAGTAGAATTAGACTGATAGTTAAATTAGAACGCTTATTTCTCTAATGAATGCTGGTGCCCTGTAAAAACTACGGATCGCTGTTTTAATAAAAACTTGTAAAATCGGGTAGGATCATCGGCTGGTAATTTTGAAATCACTTATTTTATTCGCTGCGATAAGGAGATGTTTTCCAGATATCAATGAATCTTTATTTCCATTTTCCGGGTTTTTCTCCGTGGAGCAGGGCTATTACTGCTGTCATATCTATGCGCGTAATGTTCCCCGCCAATGCACTTGTCAACTTGCTTCAAAAGAGATTAGTCTATGCCAAGGCTTTAAAACTACACCGCACACGTTTTCATAGTTTTGCTTATTGTTGCTGAAAACTGCACGGAACAACGATAGGCTTCCAGAAAATATGAATGGTGGCACTGGCCGGGCCGGAGTCCCCACAATGAAACTAAGTAAGGCTCAGTCAGCCTACGGCCACGCTCGCTGTCACTGGTTACACTTACAAATGCTGACTTTCGCGAGAAACGTGATGTGTCCCAAGCTGTACCATGTCATTTATGGGGTGCAAGTACCTGCGTCCTTCAGTCATAAAGCATACCTGCTCCATGCGTTGATCGAAGTGATTCAGTCTACCGAAAACTTACTGCCGGTCGGTACGGCACATCTACCCATGCCGTTCACGCCGCTGCTTGGCCTGTACGCAGTGCCATGTGACCCATGTGTGTGACTCCTTCGATGCTCTTTTAGAACATCGAGGGAGTCACGAAATCGAAAGAAACGGGCACCGTAGCCGAAGCGGCCGCGGGCAGCTGCCAGCGCTGGGGACGGAAGCCGAGTGTACACTGTACAGCGAGCTGTCTCACCCGTCCAACTGAGCCAGTGCTGGGAGGGGGGGGGGGGAGGGACAGAGCCGGGTGTACACTGTAGAGCGAGCTGCCTCACCCGTCCAGCTGACAGTGCTTGGAGAGGGGTGCAGAGCCGGGTGTACACCACAGGGCGAGCTGCCTCACCCGTCCAGCTGACAGTGCTTGGAGAGGGAGAGGGTGTGCAGAGCCGGGTGTACACCGCAAAGCGAGCTGCCTCACCCGTCCAGCTGATAGCCCTGGGAGAAGGGGGGAGGGGGGGGGGGGTGCAGAGCCTGATGTAACACCGCAGAGCGAGCTGCCTCACCCGTCCAGCCGACAGCCCTGGGAGGGGGGGGGGGAAGGGAACAGAGCCTGATGTACACCGCAGAGCGAGCTGCCTCACCCGTCCAGCTGATAGCCCTGGGAGAAGGGGGGGGGGGGGGTTGCAGAGCCTGGTGTACACCGCAGAGCGAGCTGCCTCACCCGTCCAGCCGACAGCTCTGGGAGAGGAGCGGGAGGGGGCAGAACCGGATGTACACCAGCGAGCTGCCTCACCCGTCCAGCTGAGCCAGTCCCGCTCGAAGCTGCGTCGGTCGTCTCCCTCCATCACCCGGAATATGGAGACGATGTATCCCGTCTGGGCGCTGGTCGGCCGCCGCTGGTCCGCTGACGGCACGTGACGCAGCACGTTACGAGCCGTGTCACGTGACGCAGTACGCATGGTGTCACGTGACCCAGCACAGCTCTGCTGGAGGCATGTGACGTGACATGACACGACCTGACAAAAACTATTGATACCGTGCACCTAGCAACGCTGCTGATGCTTAGTTCGCCGTCACGGTGTCCCCGGAAGGACAACTCCGCGCCATGTACGGGGACTGGGTGCACGCTGGAACGCGTCCAGGGATGAGGACGGCCAGGACCTTCAGGGCTGGTTTGGTTCCCTAATGGGGCGGACCTTGACGGGCATAGCGGCTGTGCTTGAGGATCAGACAAAAGAGCCGGCTGAGGCTGAGAAGTGAGATTGTCTTGTCGGACGGAGCGGCGTCAGTCAGGGGTCTGCCAGCGGCGCGGTCCCGCGTGCGGTGCGTGGAGCCGGGAGTCTGTGCTCACTGAACGGATTCAGTCAGGGGTCTGCCAGCGGCGCGGTCCTGCGTGCGGTGCGTGGAGCTAGGAGTCTCTGCTCACCGAGCGGCGCCAGTCAGGGGTCTGCCAGCGGCGCGGTCCCGCGTGCGGTGCGTGGAGCCGGGAGTCTGTGCTCACTGAACGGATTCAGTCAGGGGTCTGCCAGCGGCGCGGTCCCGCGTGCGGTGCGTGGAGCTGGGAGTCTCTGCTCACCGAGCGGCGTCAGTCAGGGGTCTGCCAGCGGCGCGGTCCCGCGTGCGGTGCGTGGAGCTGGGAGTCTGTGCTCACTTAACGGATTCAGTCAGGGGTCTGCCAGCGGCGCGGTCCCACGTGCGGTGCGCGCAGCCGGGCGTCTCTGCTTACTGAGCGGCGGCCGGGCGATGGTCGCCACCTCGTCGTACAGCCGGATGGTGTGATCGGCCACGTAGCTGGCCTCCAGCCGGCAGAACGTCTCCTGCATGGTGCGCACGATCGCCGAGTACGTGTCGGGCGCGTTACCACGCTGCTTGTCCACCGTGTAGTACAACAGGAACGGGAACTGCTCTGCGGCACGGCGAGGTCCAGGCGGCGTCAGCGGCGTCACCACTCGCTCTCGGCGGCATCCAATCAGCGTCATTGTGCTGGGCTTACTCTCTTGTTCATGCTTGCAGGCTGAACACACCTCAGCTTTGTTTAAAACGTTGGGCTTAAGTACAGCTGTTTAAATTTTATTTATTCAAAACGAGGAGGAATTATGACAATAAAAATCAGGCCAAATACATTCAAAACACCGGGCATGTTGTCTCTTACGCGTAATGCCCTTGGCGGTATGACTACGGGGTATAAATAAGTCGTAATGCATGTCACCACTGTGTGGTGTTCACTTTGCATGCTGAGGTGCATGTTAGGACAAAACCTTGCAGTGTTATTACGGCTGAAAAAAACTCGAAATGACGATAAATGCAATTGGCGAAACAAGCAATAAATGGCAAGTGAACAACATATGACTCAGGGTATTATGCAACAACTATGCTTGTTAAAGTAGTGATTAAAGAGCTTGTGAGAGTAGTTAAAAAGTTTAATAGCAGCTAAAAAAGGATTTTAAAACCTATTTAACTTATGCCAGTTGGTTAACTCCTTTTGCATATTCCCCCCAAAACATGTTTCCAGAGTTGATCCCTGTGATTTGAAGCAGCAACACGTCCCACAAAGCACCTGTCGGTGCATTACTACCGAGCTCGGCAGACGTTACCAGCACGGACACCAGGCAATGCATGACAAAACACCGGGACTGATATCAGCCGCGCTGCAAGCCACAGCACGTGAGTCCGTGGTCCGAAAGGTCAACACAGACCTCGCCGGGCGCCGCGTCTGGGTCCCATTCGATCAGTGCCTTACTTACTTCCTCTTATCACGAGAACGTCAGCGACCTCAGGTCACAAAGTCACGGTGACGGATGAAATTACAGACGCATGAGCATGACAAATCATCAACACCTGACGGGGCGCACATGTCACGACGGTGCGGCTATGTCACAAAGAAGTTGAGGTGTGAAAATCCAAGCCCTATAACCGGTTGCAACAAGGATGGTGACAGGTGTTAATGGACAGCAAGGCCACTATTTCGGTGACGGCTGACCTGTGCGCTCCAAGTTGCTGAGCAGCAGGGCGTCGCGAGTGCTGCCCGTCTGCGCCACCTGGCGCAGCAGGCTGGCGCAGGCGCCCAGCTGGACGTGGCGCGGCGGAACCGGGTCCAGCGCGCGGGGCACCAGGGGCACCAGGTGACCCAGCACGTGGATGATGACTGCCAGGCCGGGGTTGTGCGTCTCTCGCACGTTCACCCTCTGCCCTCGCGCGGGTGACGTGGGCGGCAGCTGCGGATGGACGGCCGGATTCAGCGCGCTCACAGCACGGGCGGGGCCATGTGTTTTACCTTCGAATGGGGGGGGGGGGGGGGAGCAGATGTATTTGATTTATCTAGCCAATGCCGGGAAAAACCAACCTAATTTCCCCGAAGTCCTCAAAATCCTCTGTTTTCAAACCATTTCATTTTTTCAGAGCAGTGTTTGCATTTGTTTTGTTTAGGGAAAGGATGATAAACTTGAACGTTCAGCCCACTGAGGCTATCTTACAAGTCACGGCCTTTCTTCGCTATCAACCCACCATAGGGGTGCAGTGCAGGATTTCATGATGGGGTGTGGGTACAGTTCGCAACATGCTCACTAAAGCGGGAGTAAGCGCGTCGCAGACGAGCGAAATTTCTCCAGTGGTTTAAAGCAGTGTCGCATACTTTAGAAATTCGTAGTTTACAGGTATACATTGTTGTTTATTGCCTTTTTTACTTACGCACATATTCGAACGTGTCATATATTTTCTATTGGGGCACGTCCCTCAGAGACATTATGTGAACAAAATCCCCACAGACCGTGATCAGTCATATCGAGCGTGCAATCCAGCATATACGGGAGCAACCGCCGTGATGAGCACACAGCGTCGGAAATGCGTTGAGAGTGAAACTTTTATTGCACAAAATGAAGTATTGCGCTCACTCTATCCTGCATTTGCACGGTAGCTGGTCTCGAGCGCCATCATTTGGCCAGTTCCTTATCATCGGACCGATAGTTGGGCTGTAAATAAGACATCTCCACCTAGTTAGCCAGTTCACCCCCACCGATCCAAAGCGAATGCGAATATGGAGCTTCCAAATCCACACCACAGCTGCCCAAACCTTTGCGACCACTTTTGAGTCCGCAAGTTGACAAGGCGCCAGCTGGTTAGCCTTCTATGGAGTTTGAGGCTGGCAAGTGAGGCTTTGCAGGGTTTCATAAGTGGTAAAATACTAAAAGTAGACAAAACACGCAGAAAAGGTTGCTTGGCCAAGCTGACAGCCTCAACCCGACCTGGCGGCCGTGCAGAATCGGTTAGGGACAGAGTTTTGCAAATATGAATTCAATATGAAGATGGAATTAAAGGTGATGTGCCACATTTGGGGCATGCCTACTAAAAACCATACTCTGGATAAGATGTGTTAAATAATGCCGCATTGCCATTGTAGAAAAAAACACGCGATGGACGATGGAAATAGAACTTAACGAATAACGAATGAATGTGTTTGTGCTTTAGCAACTTAGTTTTCATTGTTTCCAAGTGCAACTGCAGCAGCAGCTAAACAACCTTATCTGCGATGCAGTTGAGTATGAAAATAAAAACCCTTACCCAATGACAGGACTGTGGTTGGAAATATAACTGCACGTTCCGCAGGAATGGCTTTTGTAACAGTTTTTTATCCTAGCTTATTTAGAAGATTCTGATCCCCTTCCCTGCGTAAGTAGCTATGTGAATTGGCATCATAATCTAGTTTCAGTCCAGCGAGTACTTTTACAGGAAGTCATATCACGTAATGACAGGAGGCGGTAGGTTACGGTAAGTTGAGTAAGTCACAGTAAGTTGAGTTCCATGTAAATTAGGTACCAGCTAAGTCACGTCAAAATAAATCGCAGATTGATTGCGCATGCGTGGCCGCTTCTCTTGTTTCAAGTTTGAGTGTGCTTTGGGGCTGCAGTTTGCTTGTTAGCACTGATATGCGCCATTAGGTCAGGTCAAGGGCAATTCAAAGCTGTTCCCATTTTAGGGTATAACACAGTTAGGTCAACAAATTAACAAGTTATGCCCAATGGAATTTCAGAGCTTTTTCGATGTGTGCGCATACATAAGATACTTCACCTTGTTTGTGCTTTACGCTTCATGTTACAAACGCCCAGCAAGCAATTTGAGGCCAGGGCCACTTAGCACACGCTCGGGTGGCCGGCTGGATACCCTTCGCTCGGGTGGGAGTCAATTCGACCTCCCTGAGATCCCAGGAACTAAGAGAGCTAGATACACAAAATTCACAGGGTGTGTTGACTTGTATGTGAATTCACTTAGGTCAAAGTTTGACATTCCTAGGTCACAACTTTCGGGTCAAATAAGGTCAAACATGGTCAAATTCGAGGTTGGTCTCTAAAGGGTTCTTAAAACCTAGATAACTGCTCTAAGCAAAACTTCACATGCTCATTTAACGTCAGTGACGTTGTCTGACCGTTTGAAGGTCATTGTGACCGAAATCATACAAGACTGCTTTGAGGTTTGCATTTGAATAAACGACGAAGATTACACTGGGCTGTATGCTCCTAAAAACAAAATTCTGACCTGGGTCATTTTTGGTCAATGACCTGTTCTGACGTCGTAGAAGTCCAGGAAAGGTGTATAATGCGGTTCCTGTTATGAATAAATTCGAAAGGAGCGCCAGAAACCACCCCATACAGCGAGCCCCCGGGTAATGAAACAGGTTAGTTTTGACCTTGGTCTGACCCTCATACCTGACCCCAGGCCATTGTACCTTGCTCATTTAATTGCTAAATTGTCTAAGAAAGTATCGCAGAGATGTATGGCTTCGTCTAACACTCCGTTGTTGGATCAGATTGAAGGATTCCCTAGAAATTACCTTCGCTGAAACCATGGCCTGACTTTGACCTGCCATAGATCAGCGAACTTACAGGGTAAATCGAAGTTTTGATGCCAGACGATCCGCTATTAGATTGTCTATAACTAAGCAAATTTGGTGTGACTACGCCGCGCCGTTCGGAAATCATTTTACAAAAACTTTCGGGGGGGGGTCAATTTGACCTCCACTCGAGCGCGTGTTAAAGCCGTATGGGTGTGATGTTACGTACACATTCACTGTTGCGGTTTAAGTTTTAGAGCCTGTTTTGCGCTCCCTTGCATGACCGTGATGGCTATGTCTGGGTCTTACGCATGACTCACCGCGTCCATCACAGATCCTTTTCATTCAATCATCAGGGGTTTTCAGGGTTTTTGAAGCAGGAATAAGAATACGGCTACTGTCTTATCTATATGCATAATGTTCCTCGTAAATGCACTTAACAACTTACGTTATTCTACATTCAATAGTCTGGTTTCTCTGGCATTTTGCCGTGCAAAATATTTAACTTATGTATTTGATTGTCACTGTGGCTCAGCTTTTCGTCACAACAACTGAATGAATGAATGAGCAATGGCTGCCGGACCCGGCAGCATACGGCGCATGCGCGTTTTGTTGTTTTACTTGAAATTTTCGCCGGCGACAACTGAGTCATCAGCCGGCGGCACTTTGATGATGCTAGAATGTGGAATTGCAACCCTGTAGGTAAAATTAATGTTAGAACGGGACAGTGGAAGAAATAGTGAATGCATGAGTGGCAAAAACCGACGGTGAATTGGTGCATGTCGCAATGTAATTTCGCTACGCGCCTGGCTGCAGTTTTGACAACAGCGCACTGTCTTCGGTGCCATTGTCCACAACACCGACATCCTTGGCTTGCCTGAAGGTCATCGGCGCAACCATGCGTTGCAAAAACTCGTGTTGGCCACATGAATTGCAGACGGTGCGTTGGTAGACGCTTTTGAAGCTAGATTCACGCCTCTACCCGCTCTGAATGCCGAGCTATGTTATAAAACACTAAAAAAAAAACGTAAAGCCGGACAACTACATTTTGGCCACTTTTATCCGCGGCGCATGTGGTACATGCCGCTACACATCTGGCACCACATGAACTGGGATTCGCGCTTCCACCCACCCTGAGTCCCGAGCTGTGGTATAAGACGCAAAAACTGGCAAATGCGTGTTGGCCGCTTCTGTGCACGCCGCATGTGGTACGTGCTTCTAAATAGCTGGCACCACGCGATTTCTTGTTCGATTATCTACGAGGCGTGTTAATTCCTTGTCGCTACAAGCTACGAGATACGTTGTCGAAATGTGGACATGGTGTCAAACGGCTTTGGCTTTCGGCTTTGTCGTCGGTCACATTGTCGTTCCACCGGTGCAAAACCAATGGGCCGAAAACGGCCCTTCCGCCACGTGGCACGCCCGAGCCCGGACCGCAGCGGCTCGCTGTCTACCCGTGGAAAACAGCCTCGTGCGCCCGCGTGTCGTGTCCAAATATCATCGTTCCGTGATCGGCCGAGCGGCCCGTGCATGGCGCAACACAAAACGGGACCGACAGACGCACCCCGAGCCAACATAGATTCACACGTGTCTTGGTTTGTACGATCCACGTTCATCTTTCGGCGCTTAAATAAGCATGACCTCGAGCTGTTCAGGCACGGCCCGAAGGCAGGAGACACACTTGGAACAACGCCAGGTGTACGGGTGAATCTCATCAGCCTTGTCACCTGTGGCACAAAGCCCGGGCGAACAGTCAGCGACACGCGCAGGACGAGGTGCCCCACCGGTGGGCGGGGCGCCGGCATTCAGCGTCTACAGCTGACAGGGACCTGCCGCACGTCACCGTGTCTGCGCCTCTGACGACGGTGGCGCCGGACTGGCAGCGGTCTGCTCGGGCCGCCTCGGCGTCGGCTGGCGGCGGCCTGCCCCGACCGCTGCGGCCTCGCCGACTCATTTGCTGCAGGGTAGCGCTGCAGGCATCGGCTGCAGCACCACGGGGGGGCTTGCAGCGTGAGTCAGGCGTGTAGCTCGTCATCAGCGGCCGTTGATTCGTTTGGCGGATTTGAAGCGGAGCTGAGGCGAGAAATACGGCCAAGGCTGGTGGACTGCTTAAAGAAGGTGTTCTACATTTGTGTGGGGTGTTGAACTGAAACAGCTATTTTGATGTCCATTCAGTTCAGTTTACAGTCTTGTCGTTCTTAAGACCTAAAGCCATCTAGTTTCTGAGCCACACGCCCGCGAAGACGTGCACACTATTTCGGGGGAGGCTATTTCAATGACACCCAAGCATCCATGACGCCATGATAACGTCATTCAAATCCCGTCATTCCATTAGCGATGCGGTGTTAAAGATCAAGAAATATGAAGCTGTCGGGTCGCTCAGATCTGGCG